GATTTATAAAACTGGAATTTGTCTCGTCAAACCCTAAATGTTGGACTGGTTTCAGGCATCGTGAATCTGTTTAACACAGTGTTTCCGGCTGGTATTTTAGGGCTTAAAGCCATGCTGCTGGTATTCTCTGGCTGCTGTTTCAGGACTTGGACGCCCTGATGATCAGCTGTCATGGTGGAAAATGAAGGAGGTCTGGACTTGTTAATGAAGGAGGTCTGGAATGCAGGAAATGAAGAGAAACCTGCAGGAAAATAAATCCCAAAGACCTGAGGTACATTTGACATCCCTGGACCTGAATGTGTATAAATCCTCCTTCAGTCAACCATCCTCATGCTGTTCAGCTGTAAAAAACAACGCTTGGTCACTCGACAGGACAATATGAAGTCTTGCGTTGTTCAATTCATTGTTTGGATCCTTAAACCACCTAACTCCTGTGAAAAGCTTTTTATGAATGAAGCCTTGTGGATGTTTTTAATGTCTAAGGCCTTGAACCATATTCCCCCCCCAATGGATCTTTGGGAAAGAAAACACTTGTAATCCGTGTGAGACTTCTAAAGCCTTACAGGTCACCTTGTGGATCCTTGTGAGTCACAGAATCCTTTGCATGCTTTTAAAAAGCCCTCATGACTCCTGAATACTCATTGTCATACTTGCTTATTTAACAGACCCTCCAGGATTCTGCATGCGAGAGAAAGTGAAAATTGCTAAAACAGTCAACCTACATGCTAATGCTACATGCTAAAGATGGAAGTTGTGGCCGTTATCAATGTTGTGCACAAGAAACTAGAATGATTGGTCTTGCAGAAACGTTGTGGTGATTGGACAAAACTGCACACAGAATTCACAAGGATTTGTTGAATTTGCGTTAATTGTTGCAACTTCCTGGAGGGACTCATTTAAAAATGTGTATCTTGCAAATTCTTGAAGTGTTGGGATGCTTTTAAAAAGCAACTATAAATCCCTTTGTAATTTTTTGAAGATTTCCCATGAGGTCATCCACAGTATCCAGCTGAGTCGGGCCAATCGCGGCCAGGTGTCGGCACACCCAGATGTGTTCCGGCACAGGAGGACCAGATGTGAGTCAGGTCTGACTCTTGTAGGATAGTGGGATTTGTTTGTTGGGGTTCAAATCTTACAAGATGTGAGCAGAGAACCAGGCCAGTTCGGGCCCAGGGTCGGTCCCTGCAACCACTTGGGCCGATTCATTCATCACGAGTGTTGGGCCGAGACATTTTTACCACCTGACGTTGAACTGGCTGTTATCCTGAGTCCTTCCATACTCCGTCCAGACTCCATCCAGACGTTAACACTTTCACAAATACTCTAAATAACTCATAATAGGGCAGCTAAAGTGATTCAAGTGAGTAGTGTATTCTACCAATGTGTCTCCAGAGGATATAATGTGGCTTTCAGTGCTCCTGTGAGGGTCCTGTGAATCTCTTACATCTTGGGAACAAAATCACAGGGTAAGTGCAACATAACAAAAACATGTCCCGTGGTGGTTTCACCAGTAGGGGGCGCTGGTCTCAACACTACCCCAGCTCTGCCACTCAGGGAAGATCCCTGATGACGTCCTGGGACTTCCAAAGGGATCAAACTCCATCTCCTCCTTCTTCTCTCCACCGCGGTCTCTCTCCATCCCGACGGTACTCTCAGTGCTGCCGTCCATGACAGCCAGCCGGTAGTTGTTCCCATGGTTGTTGTCCCAGAAGGTGTGGTCCTGAGTCTGGTACTGAATACAGAACTCCACTGTGTTGGAGGGCCCGAGGACCTCCGGTACCAAGATAGAGAAGGAGAAAGTGTCGGTGTCAGGGCGCCCGTAGATGTTGTTCAGGAACAGACATGGAACATCCTGGAAAGAGTGCCACGAGTCAAAGGTGATCCGGACTGAAACTGACTTTTCAAAGGAGAGGTTTCGGACCTGAACAGTGCCTGAAAGCAGACGCTCCTGGAGAGAACAGGTTTCTAGACAAACCTGCTGGGCTTTGAGCCGGTTCCTCAGGTCCAGATAGTCTGAACCCGGCTGGATGAAGTCCAAAACCAGGCCTGGACCCCAATCTGGAGCTTCTGGAAGACAAACACAAGGGAATGGGGTTAGTTAACAGATTAGCAATTTCACCAACTAAATCATTAACAATATTCGATAGAGTTGTAGCAATTTGGCCAAAATTCGGTACACAGGCCTATAGAAAGTGATTCCAACCATATTGTTCTCCACTGTCACTGAAGTTGCAGTGAGGTTGTGCTATCAACTTGAGTTAGAACGATTTTTAAACCGATATATTTATAGTTAATGTGGACGAATCAAGTCATCCAGACTTTTACATTTAGCTTTTTTGTGACATTTATCAGACAACAATATTCAGTTTATTCCAAAATAAGAGAAACAGGAAAGGTGTGACACTGAGAGGCTGAACTGGAGAATAACTTATAATAAATCAAAATAAATCACTTGTTTAAGCTATAATAAACTTGCAGTGTATCAACGATCAGCTGTTCTTCAGCTCACTCACCTTCGCTGTCTCCCAGGTGCAGTCCTACTGTGGCGACCTCTATCTCCGTCAGGTGGAACTGCAGCTCGGCCAGCGGGTCCTCGGTCTCGTCAAAGACGTGGATGGCGGTGAGTGCGAGGCCCCGAGAGTCTGCAAACACCACGCTCTTCTTCTTCTTCTTTCTTCTCAGCCACCCCGGGGCGCCGCCACCGAGCTCCGTGCTCGCCGAGGTCGTGGTTGCCGTGGCGATGTTGCTACTGAAGGAGGACAGACAGGGTCGCAGCGGTTCACAGTGTTTCAACAGAGCGGCTGCCGATGAAGAACAGCGGTTGTCATAGTTACTGAGGAAGGAGCGCAGAGGAGGAGAGCTGGCCAGGCAGATCCTCATGGCCATGTCCACGGGCATGATGGGAGACGAACCCCCGGGGCGAGGGCTCAGGATGTGGAGGACCCTGGAGAGGGAACGGTACAGCAGGAAGACAAAAACTAAATTATTGATTAATAAATAATAACAAATAATGAAATAATGTCCCTGAGTATCTGAATGTTTCACCCTTTTGCATCCAGTTTATCAGTTGTTATTGTTTTTGATCAATATTTATTTAGTTTTTACACACTTTATAGTAATAAAGCCGTAGAGAGCAAAGATGGAGGATTTCACTATTGTTTACTCAACAACAAACAACAGTTCTGACAAATACAAAGTCTTTCATAGAACATATATTCTATTTATTGTGTCACATTCAAATTCTAAATAAATCATTATTATTATAAAGAGTCCAATGAAAAATGTGTTTTCAATTCAAATAAATTTTATTTGTATAGTGCCAATTAATAACAGAAGTTATCTCAGGACACTTTTAAATAGAGCAGGTTTAGACCGAACTCTAATGTTTTCTTAAATCTGTTTGAACTACAGTATTTCATTATAATGCTGGTTGTCACATTTTATCTTCACCAAAAGAAAGCATTTTGCAGCTTCTGCTATTTGCATATAGCATTTAGTCATACTGTGATTTCACTAATACTTTGATTAATTGTGGAGCCGTAAATCCATAATAAGTGTAAGTTTCCTCAATAAGAGAAAGGTTAGAAACCAGTGCAGAATATGAAACAGTTATATAGTGTCAGTATAATAATTCATTGTCCACAGTTTGATGCGCTGCACGCTTTATATTATTCTATATGATTTAGAACCTGGTCAGAGGTCAGTTAGAGACATGATGAAGAGTTGAAGCAGACCGGAAGCTGTGGCGCAGTTTCATACCGACTCTCACCTGCAGTTCATTGGAAAGTTTCACTCTCAGTAGAATCCACTAGAATCCGCCTCAGTGCGACCCGGACCCGGACAGCGAGCCCGACCCGGTTCTGGTTCCGTATTTTTAACTTTTACTTTTATTTTTCGGCCATTTTAACGAGCAGAACCCGCCGCTGCCCGTCCGCGCGCTCAGACACGCCCCCCGACAGACAGACAGACAGGGAGAGAGACAGACAGGGAGAGAGAGACAGACAGAGAGAGAGAGAGAGAGCAGCCAATCAGCGCTCTGCACCGTCAGCTGCTCGCTCTCTCAGCCAATCAGAGAGCAGCCAAAAAAAAAGACAGAGCGGCCAAGCAGTGACGTAACAGCTGGGCGGAGCCTGTCGTCCAGCTGAGTATTCTGGGAGTTTGCTGCCCTGAGGTCAGACTGACAGGCGGACAATGACCGGAAATACAAAACCACCAATATATGATATTAAAATAAAGTATTATTTTAATAATAATATATTTTATTAACTGAAAGACAAATGAGGATAAATAACAATAATAAAACAGATCAATAAATAATGAATCATCTATTTATTTACTCTACTGATGAACTCTTCCCTATTTTATATGTTTATGACTTATTAATCCATTTTAAATGTCTTCTGTTTTACAAGCAGTCTTGGGGAGCAACAGATTAAATGTTGTGTGTTATGTAATCAGGATACAAAGAAAGGTAACTGTAATCCATTACAGTTACAGAAAAAGATGTAATCAGATTACTGTTACATGTCGTGAAAATATGGATTATTAGCAGGATTACAATTTAAAAATACATCAGTTTTTGTTTAAAAATATAGCGCGCAGAGGTCACATCGATGATGAATCTTTCCATTTTCTTCATAAACATAGATCAATACCACTTACTGATAATTGTTTTCTCTCGTCTTTATTTGCATTTATTTGGTGTTGAGGTATTCCAAAAGTAACAGAAAGTAATCAAGTTAATTTAATATTGTGATACCTGGATCAGGTCACTGACTACATTTTTAACAGGTAATTATTATTTTTTAACCCTCCCGACCGTGTAATCTCGTAGCATAAAGGGAACTATAGCTACATGTCATTATACCACCCTGTTGTAAATGTAAATAAAATAACCTTGAATAATACTAATAGTATAACGGTGGAAAAAATATATTAATAATATAGAGTAAGATAAATAATAAGAGTGTAGTTAAATAAAAACTATACATTATAGATTAATAACCATCCTGACACTGAAGCAGCTCATCAAAATAAAAGCATTGTAATGTGGCATACAGTCCCACAGCAGCAGCTAAAGGGAAGACTGTGAGTCCTAACAGACGACACTGAGGGCACAGAGACTCTGATCTTTACCAGCAGCACAGTGTCCTTATAAGGTGCTGAAAGTCTCTCTGAGGTTTATTAAAGGAATGAATTCATCAGTGTTTATAGTTTATGTTTTTATAACATTTTAATCATTCTTGTTGTTGGTGACGTATTTCAGTCTGTGAACAGGAATGCACAAACTAAATATCTCATATAATCCCTCCAGTCATTACCATGTATCACCCTGTATGGAGGACCATATGTGCCAAAAGTAAAACTGAAAGAATAATGTGAGATTCTATCAGCAGAGAGTGAACGGGTTGATATGATTGGTTGAAATTAGTTAGTTCATGCTAACATTAGCGTGTGTAATGTTTTTTTACAGAAAAAAAAATTATTGGATTTTGATATAAAATACAAATAAATGTTTTTGTAATTGTTTTGACACACAGTGCTAATTAGGGGTACAATATGACTTGAGGTGTGATATTAAAGGGACATTGTGTAGGAATTTCTCCCATCTAGTGGTGAAATTGTATTTTGCATTCAAACGAATAGTGCTCTCTAGTGCCTCGCGTTTTCGAATGCGTATTGTAACTACGGTAGCCGTTATGTACCAAGAAGCCTACCTGTGGAGGAGAAAGCAGGCAACTTCAGCGTCCCTTTGAAAGTCTTTCTCCTTCATTAGCTCTTTCCACCTGGGAAAAGCTACCCTGATGTTTACCCTCGTTTTTTGAATTCGCCGGTCACGTTGCCTTTTTAATTCCCTTTTCGCTTTGTTGGCGACGAGGATTCCTTCTCCTGTGGCTCGGCATAAGTATGATCCTCCATTATGAACTAAAGTGCAGTGCAGACTTTCAAATGTGCCTCTCACTGATCTCCTTCTCCGTTATAGCTGGTTTCAGTCACGTGACGCTGGCTCTGAACGAGAACGCGTTGTGGATTAGTTAGACAGGTAGGCTAGTGCTTTATGTTCCTCTCGGCGATTGTAGATTTTTTCAAAATGGTGGAACGACATGGAAGCCTCCATGGACTTGCCCGTCCAATGTATATACAGATAAGAAATTCTTCGCTTACGAGGATAAGTCAGATCATTGGCAGAGGTAATTTTACACCAATGAGGACACATTTATGAATGAAGACATTGATTTTAGCTAATAAAATACTTAAAACACTACACAATGTCCCTTTAAATGTTTAAATGGTATATTTACATTGTTGTTGCCCTGCCAGTAACAATAAGAGCCCAGTCATTCAGTGAGTAACAACAATAATAATAATGTGTTTAATAGTTGGTCAGGTTAATAAGACAGGCTGCTGTGGTCGGTTCCAACAGGAACTGTGCTTCAACACTTTGGTTACATCATCTGCATAGAAACATCGTCATCATCAATAAAAAACATAAGTGCTTACTGAAGTTGTGCAAAACAAAGTAATACTGTCAGAAAACAACAAACAGAACAGATTAATCAATAACACTGAATATGGCATCAATTCCTTCTGTGGCTTCACAAACTCATCACAGTGAGAAACTCTGTACCGTCAAAATACTGAAGACAGCTCGCATCGCTCTGCTGCTCAACCCGCCCACAGAGACCATCTGATCGGCTGTGTTAGGAACTGGGACACCTGTGAGGTACGTAACGAGCCGCTAACAGCGAGCTAAAGAGCATTACAGACACTTCCTAAGTTAAGAGTCTAAGTGAGCTGAATGACTCTGTAACAAACCTAAAGACGGAGGAGTTAGAGGAAACATCTGCAGGGATACTGGAGATATAAGAGAGGGAGAACTTCTACCTGTTAGCATTTTGTTGGCAATAAAAGAGCAGCCTAACTGATTAACAGCTAGCATTAGTTGGTGGAACAGTGAAACCTAACCCACAAATTTCCACAGGGCACGTATTTATGCCGTCACGTGTGTGGCGAGCTTTGGCTCTGTGGACACCCATCTTCAAACCCCACTGAGAGCGTTTCAGAGCATCTTCCTGTCCGATGGTGTTTACTTGTATTACTTAATCCTTAAAAAGAAAACAAATCTCCTCTGACTGACTGACTCCCTGTTACAGTGTTGATGTAGCGTGAAATTCTGAATCTTCGGGGTCATTTTACTTAAACTGACTAGATTCTCTATGGCATTTCTGTGTCCGACTTTCTGTCAGTGTCATCTGCTGTGAGCTGCTTGATGCGAGTGAATCGCAGTTTCCGTCAAAAATAGTCACCAAATTACATGGAATTGGAATTACGAGCATCATCTAGAACCAGCGCGATCAGCTCCGGTGGGATTTGGGGGTCAATCTGGTTCAAGTCTTATTACCATGTTTACAGCTAGGATGGGATCTACAAGGAAGTTCCTGTAATACGACCGCACAGCTTCTCACAGGCCTTTTCCACCAACAGGGAACCGGCTCTGTTCCAGGTCGCACGCCTAGTTTGCATTGTTCGGAGGATTTTCACCAAAAATAAATCAGATCGGAACCAAAATATATCAGGTTTTCTTTGGCAACCAAAGCGTTATATTCTACAGGTTGTCCCCAAAAAACTGGTGGAAATGCTGGTTTGCTAGAGAGAGTCAAGGTTACAATACTAAACGGAACCGGTGTTTGATATTTTTGTGAATGTGGATGTCCAAATCAACTCACGGTTGGAGGTCAGAGGTCACACAGGTGTGTCTTATGTGATAGAAAAAGCAGGTTGAGGTTCTGAAAGGGAACAGCTGAGAGCAGCAGAGCGATGAGGTCTGCAGTTTGTTTCAACAATTATGGCTTCAGCAGTGCAAACAGCCCTGATACGGTCCAACAGGATCCAGCAGGATCTGACCCTGATACCCAGTTCAGTTCTGTGACTTCAGAGGGTCTTCATCAGCAGAACGTCTGTACATCGATACTGAAGAGGTTCTTCTTCCTGTCGTCCCTCCACATTAACACTGAAGCTGCGTCTAACTTTGGATCAGACAAATAAATTAGATATTTTATTTTTGGCACAGCTCGTCCTCCACGATGACGGCAGGAAACATCTCGTTCAGCTCGACAATTTAATCCAGCGAGCAACAACGTGCTGTAGGAAGTGCATCCTCCGATTACGACGTCCAAATCTCATGTTAGACATAATAACAAGTTTCCCATAAATATGTGATTTCATATGCAATCCTACGGTGGGCCAGAGGTGTCGATCGAACTGCAGAAGTCGAAAGTGAGCTACAGCGGTTACTGTGTCATATTACTGAGCTGGAATGATGTAGACACTTGGTCCAATAACAGGAAACGATGAGGTTCATGAGCCCAGTCGGCCAGATGGTCCTCCTGAACCGTTGGTTCGATTGCTACCGAACCTTCTGCGGATCATCATCAGCTGAAGCTGATCAATAGTTGCTTAAAGCTTATTGATTTCTTATTTAGTTTACAACATATTGACCAATGAACTTCATATTATTGTTTTTATTATTATTATTGTGTGTTATTGAATGCCATAAACAATAAATAAATGATAAGGTAATGCGAAGGAACCTGCCTCACTCCCGGCTTTTGCATTCGTTTTGTGGCTTTTGCAGTTCGTATGACGTCTCTGGGCCACCGTACAACTCTCATATTTATGGGATTTCAGCTTTTTATTGTGAGAGAAAATTGTAATGCTGAAAAATCTGAAGGTTTTCTCAAGATTTGGTGTCCTGAAAAAGTCTCTGAAAAAGTCTCTGTAACGATCAGAGGAAGCTGTGAGGAGGTCAGAGGTCAAAGTAACAGCTGGTTGGAGGTCAGTTGTCCAAAAACTTTATTTATAATTAATTTTTTCTGAAGTAAAGTTTTTTAACTTAATTGAGGTCAAATTAAATTCAGATTTACAGACTGTGATTTAACGTGTCAGACTTCTGACCACTCCTCCTCCTCCTCCTCCTCCTCCTCCTCTTCTTCTTCCTCTTCCTCTCCTCCTCCTCCTCCTCCTCCTCCTCCTCTACAGACAGATGTTGATCTGTTTGGCCAGCTCTCGGTCCAAGTCGTGGATCAGAGTATCAAAGTCCTTCAGACTGAGTCGACAGTTAAATGGAGCATCAAAATCCATAAACTCGTCCACGTACAGACCTCCTCCTCCTCCTCCGGACGACCACGCCTCCTTCTTCTCCTCCTCCTCTTCATCCCCGCTGCCTGAAACAGCAACAAGGAGGAGTGAGAGTGACAACAACAGGGATCACTACAGCTAAACTTCAGAATCATAATTATTTTCAAATGTGAACTAGCTATTAGCATGGAACATGAACGTGTTAGCATTCAGGTAGCATGGTGTAGCAGCAACCTTTAATATCTATGTTAGCACAATGTACAGCTGAGGTTCACTCAGTGGTTTTAGAGGTAAAAGTTCCTGCTCACCTCCGTCACTCTCACTTCCTGCCACCTCGTCGTAATCGGCCTCCTGTCCGGACAGAAGATCTCGCCCACAGATGCTCCAGTCTCCGGCGTACCGATTGATGGGTGGCGGACTATCCAGCCGGGCGAGACCGCCACGACCCCGACGTGACACCACCACGTCCTCCGGGTTCTGGGGCAGAGCCAATCGCAGTGCGGGATGCCGCTGCAGCTGCTGACCCAGGGGCTTAGGGGTAAGGGCGGTGGGGGGAGGTGAGGTGATGTCATCTGCTGGGACTCGATGTGTCGGCACTGAGGAAGAACATATTAACATCAAAATAAGATGCTGATCAAAGTTTCCATGGCAACACTAGAGTATAAAAGTGGGCGGAGCCTGTGTCTCACCTGGCCACAGCTGAAGCAGGTAGTGTAGCGCCTCGATGTGTCGTTTGAAATCCACCGCGCTCGCTATCTCTTCGCCATGACCTAACCCCTTCCCTCCTCCTCTTCCTCCCCTTCCTCCTCCTCCTCCTCCTCCCGCCCTCCACGCCTCCTGGGTCGGGGTGAGGAGCACCGGGCCGAAGCAGACGGCGAGGTTCTGGTGCGTCATCCTGTTGAACGGGCTGAAGGACGCCACCAAGCTGAGGTGGTCCAGCAAGAGAGACAGGGTGGCCTGAAGAGACAGACAGACAGAGAATGTGAACAACCTTTTTATAACCTGTTGATTACCCACAATGCAACTGGACCACCAACAGTTGACCCATCCTAAGCTCCTAGTACAGTAGTAGTAGGGTAGTAGTACTACAGTGTAGTAGGACTGTCTGTTACCCTCTCTGGAGGCGGGAGGCAGGACAGCAGCTCCACGGTGCTCTGGGCCAGCTGAGGGTCAGGGGTCGCGGGCGGTGCAGGTGGGGGTCGCAGGGTCATGGCCTCCCTGACGACCTGATAGAGAGTCCTGGTGATGAGCTGAGACGGCAGCTCCCGCAGGTAGTCCTTCAGTATACCTGAGAGACACAACAAGGAACGAGTCAACGAGTCGTTGGGTTGATTCAGAGACATTAGGGTCGACTCACTGAGAATGAGCTGTCAATCACAAGGTAGCCCCGCCCTAAAGCATACCCTGCTTTATGGTCTGTTTTACTCTAAATGGGACCATCAGTTACTAAATGAACATCATGCTGTATGGAAGAAGACTGAAACTAGAGACTGAGACCAGAAACTCATCAGGAAACTGTTTACTGAGCTCAATAATCAAGTAGTGCAAGTCTCCAGGTCTTCAGGTCTCCAGGTGTATTTACTGACCTGTAATGACGTTGATGTCGGGGTAGAGGTCCTCACTGAGGCAGACAGCTGAGCTGTTCCTCTCAAACCAATCCCTGAGCTCCTTCTTCACTGCAGCCGAACCACAAAGTCTGTACAGACCCACCACCTGACAGACAGACAGACAGACAGACAGACAAACAGGCAGGCACCTTTACTATCTTCTGTCAGAGAAAACAACTGATTTATAGCTGTAAATCGATGGATACCTTCAGTCCTCGTCGCTCTATCTCTGCCACACATTTCTGGATCAGCAGAGGGATCGGGGACGAAGATCCTTCCTTCTCCACCAGGTGGTGCAGTTCAACCCCAAACACATTAGCAGGTACTGATGTGTCACAGCTGGGCTGCAGGGAGGAAACCATTAGCATTAATAGCATTAGTATTAATAGCATAATCACAGTGTATAAATTATCAACAGCAACTGGATGCTGACTGCAATTCATTGAACAGACACTGGTGGCGCTGTTAACTACTGAAAGTCACTGTTCAGCAGTATTAGCAATATTAGCAATATTAGCAGAAATGCAGTATTAGCTGTATCACTGTGTACCTGTGTGTCCCATTTTTCTTGCAGTGACAGTTTGACATAAAGAAGACCTCGGGGTTCCAGCTTCACACAGAGCTGCTGACTTCGACTCCCTGAGACAGAGAACAATAACATTTGAGCCTCGTCGTGTCCAGAATATCTGTAATATATTATTTATACAATAAAGTACAGTAAAGGGTGTACTGGTCAGTGAACCTTTAAAAAGTGGAGGGATGGAGACTCCACCCAGACAGCAGACTCTGTTTCGGGTTGGACCACCTGAAGTCTGACCCTGATCCGTCCCTGGTTTAGACCCTCCAGGTTGTGGGTTGGCTGCAGACACACAAACAGAGAGAACGTTTCTCATCTGACAAAATCTTGTCTGGTGGAAACTTTCCAACATTTGCTAATAAAGTCAGTGGTGGAAGGGTTAGGGTTAGTACTGGCTGGTTGTAGTGATAACAGTAATAATAATACTAATAATAGTACCTGGTGTTAACACCACTATGCGGAGCTGCCGAGCCCTTTCCAGCTCCAGGTGGAAGGCATGGTTTAAAGAGAGGGCAGAGCCTCGCAGGCTCAGGAGGGCGGTCCTCGCTCTCGTCACCCCGTCAATCTGGATGGCGAGGAAGACCTCCTTACTGCCCTCTGACCTGAGAGGAGAGACATCCACACAGACAGGAACAGAGTTTAGTAGTGAAACAAAACTTCTTTCCTGGAGAGGTTGTGTCTGGATCTGGTCCAAGTCCTGAAACTGTTTAAGTGAGGGAGGGACTTGTCCCAGTAGCTAATAGTGCTGTGTGCTACGTCCCCCCAGTCCAGCAGCTGTAGTGGATCCAGTAGACACTGCTGGGAGCTCCCAGTGAACAGCAGGTCCAGACCGGGACTGAATGCAGCATCTGATACTAATGGAGGACAGTTTGACTGCAAGGAATAAATGACTGAGGTGGTTTTATTACTGGTTTTGGCTCCTGCCGCCCCGGGGCTAAAAACAAGCTAACGGCATCTCATATTACTATTAGCAACAGTTAGCTTCTTTTAACACCAAATCCATCTGGAAACTCCATAAATCACCTCGGTACCGCTGTCTGTCTCAGAGGTTGTGTTCACTGGGAGGCTGCTGAGCCCCGTTCAGTTGCAGAGCAGCTGGAGGACTCAGACTATATTCTCTTCATAAAATATGATGTCATGATATTATTAGTTTAAGTACTATTTTATTTCTAACAGCAGCTCTGTGTGTACAGCTGCAGTTCCTCTATCGTCCACTAGCTGCTGCTGTGATCAAGCTCTAACTGTATTGAAGAGAATTAGAAAATCCTTTATCAGCCAGTGTTAGCTTGTATTAGCTGCTGTTAGCTGGTTCCAGGTGTTGATGGTGTGTTCGTACCTGCTGGTCTTCATCTCCTCCAGGCCCAGCAGGTGGACCGTCAGTAAGCCCGTCACCCGCTGGCTGCAGCGCTGCAGATCGGAGCCCACGTACAGTCGGAAAGAATTGACGTCGCACGCCGTTTCGTGGGAAGTCGGAAGGGGAGGAGCCTGTTGCCGTGGCAGCAGCTCAGGGGAGTCCCCATCACTAAGATAACCTGAAAGGAAAATATTTCTACATTTCACTGATGGAGTCAGACTGAAGCAGGTTCCTCCAGAGGATGAAAACAGCCACAGACTAATAGAAAGCTGTGGAAGGTGTTTAGAATCAGATCATTCCTGACTCACTGAAATCTGCTGATACTGAGACCAGCTGCTGAGTACACACAGCCAAGGACATGTAAGTTAATAAAAGCAGTCCAATTTAGGCTTTCTTGGTCCTCATGTGTTTGAATAGTCCCTGTCTTTAGCCATTAACAGCATATAATAAGTGGACAGTTTGTTAAACTTGCATTCTTTCAAACAGCCAGCAGGGGGCAGCTCCACTCTGATAGTATTGAGTCTTATGGAGAAGTTGATGAATGAGCTCAGTGAACAGTTTCCTGATGAGTTTCTGGTCTCAGTCTTTAGTTTCAGTCTTCCATACAGCATGATGTTTATTTAGTAAATTGAACGCTATTGTTTCCAAATATAGCTGATACAGTTATTAATACAGTTATTGATACAGTTTGATCTGTATTAATAACTGGGAATGTTAGTTCAGTTTTTACACTGACCTCTGACTTAAATTAACTGTTTGGTTGTGGACATTTAAGGACTTTAGCTTCGGGTTTGGAAACAGTGATTAACATTTTATGGGCCACAAACCAAACAGTTGCAGCTCCGCTGTTATAAACGGTTTACCTCCTTTGCTGGCAGAGCGTCCTCTCGATGATCGTCGCAGTGGTCTGGCTGGAGGGGCAGAGCTATCCAGGTGATATCTGCTGATCACATTCTGGTTGGACAAGGCTGACGATGTTGTTGCATTCTTACTGGTCGACTCGTCCCCGCCCCCTCTGCTGTCGTTTCCCTGGCGTTGGGCACGAGAGGAGGAGCGAAGGCTGAGTTTACGGCGCAACTCGGGAAGTTTCTTCATCTTTAGGGAGAGTTTCCTCACTGTTCCAGGTGATTTCAGCCTGTCAATCACACTGCCGGACACACCCCCTTTCTTTTGGGAGGCGGGGCTAGAGTCTGACAGAGGGTAGTCTGAGGGAGACACAAACACTGAACACTTGTTTTCCTGTAACAAAGAATGAACACAAAGTCAAAGGATCGTAGGTGCAGTCAGGTCTTACCTGTGTGTTCTGTTGCAATGTCATCAGTATGGTGGCTGACACTTGGATTGGCACCCTCTAGTGGAAAGTCACTGCTACGACTCTCTGCTGACCCGACCCACTCTCCTCCCAGCTCGGCTCTGGAATCTCCCGTCCTCTTTGTTGCACCTCCTTCCTCCCTCTCATCCCTCCTCCTCCATATGTCCTCCTCCCTGCGTGGACCTCCTGCGTCCTCCTCCTCAGGAATAGGGTTGTACCAGATGTTGCTGCTGCTCTCCTCCTGCAGCCCAAAGGCCTCGTCTGAAGCCTGGGTTTTTCCTGAAGACAGCACCCAGGCTCGGCTGCTGCGATCCAGGCTTTGCAGATAGGCCCGCTGGCCAGACTTGGCGCTGACGGAGGTGGCGGCCACATCAGGAGTGCTCCCTGTTGGCTGCGGGGCTTCCTGGTGGACTGTCGTAGAACTGACAGGAGCACAGGGGGTGCTGGTCATATCCAAGGCCAGACTGATGCACATCCGGTCGCTGCACTTCTCTGTCTGTTAGCAGGACAAGAAGTGGGGGTCAAAGTACTTTAAGGTACTTTAAGTAGAAGGAAAGACTAAGGTATGAACACAAAGGTTGAGTCTATCTACCAATAGGGAAACAAGAAAAGGTCAAACTACCAAGAGCAAGACAAGAAAGAGGGGTCAGACTACTAGAGACACATCAAGAAGGAGGGATTGAACTACCAGAAATGCATCTAGAAGGAAAGGTCAAACAACGGACCAGCAGGAGGGGTCCGACTGCTCGCTGCAAAACAAGAAGAGGTCAAACTACCAATAGTAGGACAAAAAAGACTTGTCAAGCTACAAGGGGGACAAAGAGAAGGAAGAATTGAACTACCAGCAGCAGATCTAGAAAGAAGGGTCAAACTACGAACCAGGAGGAGGGGTCCAACTACCAGGAGAAAGACAAGAAGACAAAACAAACCCTAAAGGAGTTGGATTAGGACAAAGAATGAAGAAACAAAGAACGTACCAAGAGGAAGGGTACATGAAGTAAACACACTCATTATGTTCTCTCATTAACCTGCCAACCATCTTGTACCTTATCCTGTGCTAGCCTCTGACTCCAGGCCTGCCCAGATGCATCCTGGGATATCCCTGATGGTCGCTCCCGGTCAGAGGTTCTTGGGGCGGAGCTTGAGTGCAGGGCGGTGGGCGGAGCCACAGAGCCCTGCCGTGCCCACGACTGTTTCTTGGCAACTGTGATGTGGTTGTGTGGGGTCGAGGCGGGATCAGGGTCTGTCGGAGTTCTTGTGGTCATCATCGATGGTGATGATGGTGAGGAAGACGACTGGAGGACAGTGTCAGGCTTTACTGGAACATCTGCAGGAAACACACACAGCTGTTATTAGCATTCTGGTGGTTGGATTAAAGCCTCCGTTTGGTGCTGAGAAATCTGAGCAGGAATTCAGTGGTGAGTTAGTTTGTGGTTCTTTGTTTCTGTCTCACTCTTTTGGTTTCTCTGTTTGTTAAAGACCAAAGGGTTAAATTGTTGGTGACCTTTGTGAATCATATGAGTTCATGAGTTTTTTAGTCAAAACAAACACTTTGGAACAGATAACCAAACTGCTACCAACCAGGTTGGCAATTTACATTCACTGAGCCAGCAGTCTGGGAACAAGACCAACCTGTGAGCTCATGGTTTATTTGCCCTGGCAGATGAGATTTCCACCAGTCCTGGTTTCAGTCGGGCCAATCACAACCATTTATCTAATATGGGGCAGGTTTGATATGATGACAGTACAGGAGGAGAGCAAAATGTTATTGGCTGTTGAGCAGAGCCTGAATTTGACCAAAAAAGGACCAGTACCTTAATTCTTTTGCAGTTTCTAATCCATTTCAACAAGGACATTTTCAGTGCTGTTTTTCTTGCGTTAAGCTAGCTGTATGTTTACAAAGAGAACCTCACCAGCATTGCTGTACACAGGGTTTTAGAATTACTAAGGTCCAAACACTGAACATGCTCGGGGGGTATTTGGGGCATCAAAGCTACAAAATAGATGTTATTTTAAGACAGTTATTTCACAACTTTTATCGTATACCTGTTTGGAAAAATACTGGTGAGCTCAATGCTGGCTATGGCCACCAGAGGTGGTAAGGGCACACTGGTTGAGTACTGGCCCATGTCAGGTACTGCTGTTGAGGCATTGGTTGCAGGTCTATCCAACTGGAACCTCAGTCAACTTCCTCCTTTCCTGTACTAGATATGCTATGTGCTAGGCTAATTTATGTCTCTTCTATGCCATCAGGAAGAGGACTCTGTGTCCGAACGAGCAGTAAATATACCAACACTTTAATTCTTATTTTCTTTTTAAGCCGTCCAAAATCAGTTTTGAAATCACAGTAAAATGTCTCTTTAATGTTTTCATGTTGGTTTTGTGATGTTTTTTAAGTGAAGTAATAGACTAGCACTGTGCCCAGGACAAAGTTCCCCTCAGTGACAATAAAGTTTGCTCTTCTCTACATCTTAACTTAACAAAACATTTGCTATCAGATATAACTAGCTAGCTAACTATTAATGTAGATTAGTTAGCTAGTAATTAGCTAACTTAAGATGTGACTATTTGTATTGTTTTTATCTTTTAACCACCAATCAGCAAGAGAACTCACCACCAGTTTAGCACATAAACATCCGTCATGCTCATTATTGGTCATTATTGATCTTCCATAATCACATCAGCTGTTTCTGCTGAAACAAACTGGAAAGTTTAAAGCAGCACTTCATCAATTATAACCACAGATTTTCTCTGTCACATCCTGAACATCTGGATTTGTGTCTTCCAGCTCTGTACTTCCTGTGTGTGATCCTCGTGACACACAGTATGCAGACGATCTGACTGAGCTGCATGAAAGAATCCTTCTGTGTGTGAGTTTGAATCTGAACTCTACAAACCACGGTTGTCCTCAGCTCTAACCTATCTAATCTAATCTTAGGGAATCCTGCCCTCTGATTGGCTCTCTGTTATAACCAATCATAGCTCAGATCAACAGTTTCCCCTCTCTCACAATCAGAGCTTACAGGTATATTAACTTGCAGGTTACCATAGCAACAGATGCTCCTACATCTCTGAGGACCTCTACAACTTCATCAAAGATCTCTACAGTCTTTGTGATCCTATGTAAGCTGAAGAACCTCAGAGACCTCTTCCGGGTCCTCCTCAAGGACCCATGAAACCTCCTCAAGGACCTCCTCAAGGACCCATGAAACCTCTGAAAGGACTGTGAAGTGACGTATGGCTCATGCAGGGAACTACAGTGATTGGTTGAATTTGTGTTAATTGTTGCGATCACAACTGATGTGTACGTATGGGGTTCCTCTGGGTTCTACTCGTGGTCCTTTATATTTTACATTTAGATATGAATATTTAGGCAAATGATCTAAAAACAGCCAAAACAATCATTTAAAATAATTCACATATTAATGTGGTGAACTTTGGTTTGAAGTTTAGAAAATGAAAACTATCTGATTAGTTATTGATGCTAACATGTTAGCAACCAGCTGGCTACTTCCACAGACAGTCTCAATATTTTTTTTTGGCAGCTTTTTTTTTTTTTTTTTTTTAAAGTGTTTTTAGGCATTTTATTGCAACAAATATGTGTGAATAACGGAAAATTGTTATTTTAATATGAGTTTTTATATATACTTTTATTATTAAAATTTAAGATTGCTCTGTTTAGAAGATTGCATGGTGAGTTTGGGATGTGTGGCTGTAAGTGTTGTGCAGGAAACTACAATAATTGGTCGAATGTGGTGAAATGTTGTGGTGAATAATTGGTGCGTTTGGGGGCAGCAGAGACACCTGAAAGCATCAATCAGGGAAGAGAAGTTTGTTAGGGAGAGAAGTTCCACAGACTGTTGTAGGAGGGAAACACGTGCAGCTGCTAAATGCTCCACTGTGTTAGCGGCTGCTCTCACTGCGGACACGACCAGACAGGAAGTGATACTCTCCAGAGGTCGGCCTCCACTTCCTGTCATCTGAATGGAGCCAAAGAGGAGCTGATAGAGGGCCGAGTGTGTGAGAGAGAGCTAATATTAAACCATCTGTTGTACGTTTACAGGAGCCTGAGAAATGCTGATCAGTGAGAAAGCAGGAGGCGGGAAGAGGGAGGGGGGGGAGGGGTATGGGGGGAGGGAGGAGGAGGAGGAGGAGGAGGAGGGTGAATAAACAGCTGTGACTGTAGATGTCAATGAACTCTGTGTGTTTAATACTAAACACACTGCTGTCTATTCACTATTCATAAGTCTTAAAGTACACACACACACACACACACACACACACACACACACACAGTTTATTTATTATAAAGGAAAATCTCGATACAGTACACAGAGTACTGTGTACTGTAAACAATATCCCTGTTTATAGTAAACAATGTAAACAATGTAAACAACAGTGTACAGTATTCTGTATTGTACATAATGTACATTTAAACAGTGTGTGTGTGTGTGTGTGAGTGTGTGTGTGTGTGTCTGTGTGTGTGTGTGTTTGTGTGTGTGTGTGAGTGTGTGTGTGTGTGTGTGTGTGTGTGTGTGTGTGTGTGTGTGTGTGTGTGTGTGTGTGTGTGTGTGTGTGTGTGTGTGTGTGTGTGTGTGTGTGTGTCTGTGTGTGTGTGTGTGAGTGTGTGTGTGTGTGTGTGTGTGTGTGTGTGTTTGTGTGTGTGTGTGTGTGTTTGTGTGTGTGTGAGTGTGTGTGTGTGTGTGTGTGTGTGTGTGTGTGTGTTTTCTATCTAAAATCTTCACTCAGTCAGAGGTAAACAGGAAGTAACACACACACACACACACACAGTGTAATGACAGGAAGTGGTCATGTGACCCAGTTTGTCTGCAGGAAGTTGAACATTAAACAGTGTGTGTGTGTGATTACAGTCGGAGAGGTTTCTGATCTCAGTGCAGAGACTGACGGTCCATACGTCTGCACAGGATCAATAATCCATCAATTCAGCTTCACTGTTAGCCTAGCTTAGCACAAAGACTGGAAGCAGAGGGAAACTGTTAGCCTAGCAGAGATGTGAACCTGCAGTGACCTCACAGATGACCTCACAGCTCTGTCAGCGGCTGATTGGCTGTTGACTCTCTGACTGTTGACCCTGAAGTTCTGATCCATAAAGTAAACTATTGATAATCGTCAGTAATAATAAATTAAGTTACTAATGTTCAACCTTTTTACTGGAAACAATAAAAGCTCTAACCAATGTGACAGGGTTGATTCCAACGTTTACGTCTGCAGACGATCAATAATCAATCAGATATCAATACAGTTAGCTTAGCATAGCACAAAGACTGGGAGGAGTGGGAAACTGTTATAAAGCTGAGCCTACTGGTAGCATGTTAGCATGGCTTTACAATGTCCTGCAGTCAGAGGTCAGATTATATAACAACAGACTTTACAAAACACAGAGCTCAGATAACTGTCTCTCTCTCTGCCTGCCTGTCTGTCTCTCTCTGTGTCTCTCTCTCTGTCTGTCTCTCTCTCTCTCTCTCTCTCTCTCTCTCTGTCTCTCTCTCTCTGTCTGTCTCTCTCTCTCTCTCTCTCTCTGTCTGTCTGTCTCTCTCTCTCTCTCTCTCTCTGTCTCTCTCTCTGTCTCTCTCTCTCTCTCTGTCTCTCTCTCTCTCTCTGTCTCTCTCTCTCTCTCTCTCTCTCTCTCTCTCTCTCTCTCTCTCTCTCTCTGTCTCTCTCTCTCTCTCTCTCTCTCTCTCTCTCTCTCTCTCTGTCTCTCTCTCTGTTCCTCTCTCTCTCTATCTCTCTCTCTCTCTGTCTCTCTCTCTCTGTCTCTCTCTCTGTTCCTCTCTCTCTATCTCTCTCTCTCTCTGTCTCTCTCTCTCTCTGTCTCTCTCTCTCTCTACCTCTCTCTTGGAATTAAAATAATAATAATAACAATAAAGGAAAACAATATTTACAATAAATGAATTATAATCTCTACTGTTGGTAATACTGTAACTATGATTGACTCAATCCCAATCACAGTCACAATCAATCAATCTCAGTCAATAAGTAATTAATTACAATCAATCAATCAATCAATCAGTTTGTGTCAACTACAAATGTCATTAAAACAGTAGTAAAGTAACTACAGTTAAAACAAGTAGTCTATTGTCAATATAACAGTAATTACAAAGAAGAAGAAAAAAAATAAAATGAAAGAAAGTTAGGAAATCGCTGTCTCTCTGTCTCTCTCTCTCTCTCTCTCCCCTTGTCTCTCTCTCTGTCTCTCTCTCTCTCTCTCTCTCCCCTTGTCTCTCTCTCTCTCTCTCTCTCTCTCTCTCTCTCTCTCTCTCTCTCCTTGTCTCTCTCTGTCTCTCTCTCTCTCCTTGTCTCTCTCTGTCTCTCTCCCTCTGTCTCTCTGTCTCTCTCTCTGTCTCTCTCTCTGTGTCTCTGTGTCTCTCCCTCTGTCTCTCTCTCTCTATGTCTGTCTGTCTGTCTCTCTCTCTGTTGTCTGTCAGCAGCAGGGACATTGACCAGAGGACCGTGAGCAGGAGACAGTTGCTGTGATTGTGATGTGTCTGTCTGCAGCTGCTCACCGCTCAGTTTGGGGTCTGTCTTCCTGCGGGATCTGTCTCTGCCCCTCAGCCTGGAGAAGGTCCTCTTCAGCAGGGGCTCAGCCATGGCGGACCCCCTCCTCGGTCCTCCTCCTCGGTCCTCCTCGGTCCTCCTGCAGAGGAGTAGAGTCCAGCAGGAGACGAGAGGAGTCAGCGCTCCTTCATCGTGTTCAGCTCAGAGTTTTCAGCCATGACTCCTCGCTCGCTGAGAGCTGCAGAACAGGAAATGAATTCCACACATTCTTTCCCAACTCCCCCTCTCCTCCTCCTCCTCCTCCTCCTGCTCCTCCTCCTGTTCCTCCTCCCACTCTCCTCCCTCCACAGAAAGGAGGAGGGCTCATGGGAAATGTAGTCCCGAGGCTCCAAAAACTAAAAGTTGTAGTTGTTTTCTTTCTGTCTCTCATTACTCTTTAATAAGAATGAACCCATGAATCACTCTGACTGCTTTAACAGCGCCACCAGTGGACAACAAACAACAACAAACAACAACAATGAAATAAAAAGTATTTTACAGCTTTAAACGGTTAGAGGCAGGAAGTGGGCGTGGTCTTTACAGAGCAAACAGCTGCGACTGTATGAAGAAAATAAAGCAGTTCATATTAAAAAAGAATAATATTAAGAAATAATCATGTATTATTTATTTATGGTGTTTACAGTGAATCTGTGACCTTTCTATCAGCACTGTACACATATATCTTTATTAATGTTCTCATTCTTAATGTTAGTACCAGCTCACCCACAGCAGACTCTTCCTCATTCTGGAGTTCCTTCACTGCTGCAGCTCTCTGCTCACTTCTTCCTCTCCTGAAGAGACGAAGGGCGGAAGTCTTCCTCTCCTGATCTCTATAATGAGTTCAAACTACAGCTGGTTCATCCTCTCATTACCCAGAATCCCCAGGAGCAGGAACAATCACCATGATCACCATCACCATCACCATCATCATCATCATCACCACCATCATCATCATCATCACCATCATCATCATCATCACCATCACCATCATCACCATCATCATCATCATCATCACCATCATCACCATCATCACCATCACAATCATCACCATCACCATCACCATCATCACCATCACCATCATCATCATTATCATCACCATCACCATCATCATCATCATCACTATCATCACCATCATCACCATCATCATCATCACCATCACCATCATCATCACCATCAGATAATAATTAGATAATCTTAAAACTTATAGAAAGGCCCTCCGTAATGCCAGAGGAGCCTATTACTCAGCACTAATAGAAGAAAATAAGAATAACCCTAGGTTCCTCTTCAGCACTGTAGCCAGGCTGACAGAAAGCCACAGCTCTATTGAGCCACATATCCCCATAAACTTAAGTAGCAATGACTTCATGAGCTTCTTCTATAATAAAATTATTACTATTAGAGAAAAAATTAATCACCAACTGCCATCAACAGTTATCAGTGGCTCTCCAAGTTCAGGGACTTCTGTCAATGTAAACTTAGATATATATTTAGACTGTTTTTCTGCTATCGATCTTCATCAGTTAACTTCAATCATTTCTTCATCGAAGCCATCAACCTGTCTGTTAGACCCGATCCCAACTAGGCTGCTTAAAGAAGTTGTTCCCTTAATTGGCACTTCTTTACTGGATATGATTAATCTTTCTTTATTATCAGGATATGTACCACAGTCCTTTAAAGTAGCTGTAATTAAACCCCTTCTTAAAAAGTCCACTCTTGACCCAGGGGTTTTAGCCAACTATAGACCGATTTCTAATCTCCCGTTCCTCTCTAAGATTCTGGAGAAAGTAGTCACCAAAGAGTTGTGTGACTTTCTACATAACAATAGTTTATTTGAGGATTTTCAGTCAGGATTTAGAGTTCATCATAGCACAGAGACAGCTCTGGTTAAAGTTAATAATGACCTTCTGACTGCTTCTGACAATGGACTTGTCTCTGTACTTGTATTATTAGATCTTAGTGCTGCATTTGACACCATTGACCATGATATTCTTTTACAGAGACTTGAGCATCAAATTGGCATTAAAGGAACTGCCCTAAGCTGGTTTAAGTCATACTTATCAGATCGTTCTCAGTTTGTACATGTTAACGATGAATCCTCCATAAATACTAAAGTTAGTCATGGAGTTCCACAAGGTTCTGTACTTGGACCAATACTATTTACTTTATATATGCTCCCTTTAGGCAACATTATTAGGAATCACTCCATTAACTTTCACTGTTATACAGATGATACGCAGTTATATCTATCAATCAAACCCAATGAAATTAATCAATTATCTAAATTACAAACATGTCTTAAGGACATAAAATCCTGGATGACCTGCAATTTTCTGATGTTAAACTCAGAAAAAACCGAAATTCTTGTTCTTGGCCCCAAAAACCTTAGAGACTCATTGTCTAAAGATATAGTCACTCTAGATGGCATTAACTTGGCCTCTAGCACCACTGTCAGGAATCTTGGAGTTATCTTTGATCAGGATTTGTCATTTAACTCCCACATAAAGCAGACCTCTAGGACTGCCTTCTTTCATTTACGTAATATTAGAAAAATTAGACACATACTATCACAGACAGATGCAGAAAAACTAATCCATGCATTTGTTACTTCAAGGCTGGATTACTGCAACTCTTTATTATCAGGTTGCCCCATAAGTCCATTAAAACGCTCCAATTAATTCAGAACGCTGCAGCACGAGTACTGACAGGAACTAGAAAAAGAGATCACATCTCTCCTGTACTAGCTACTCTGCATTGGCTCCCTATAAAATGTAGAATTGAATTTAAAATCCTCCTCCTCACCTATAAAGCTCTTCATGGTCAGGCCCCTTCATATCTTAAAGAGCTCATAGTACCCTATTACCCCACTAGAACACTACGTTCTCTGAATGCTGGGCTACTTGTGGTTCCTATAGTCTCTAAAAGTAGAACAGGAGCCAGAGCCTTCAGTTACCAAGCTCCTCTCCTGTGGAACCAGCTTCCAGTTGTGGTTCGGGAGGCAGACACCCTCACCACATTCAAGAGTAGGCTTAAGACATTCCTCTTTGATAAAGCTTATAGTTAGGGCTGGATCAGGTGAGTCCTGAACCATCCCTTAGTTATGCTGCTATAGGCCTAGACTATCGGGGGATTTCCCATGGTGCACTGAGCTACTCTCTTCCTCTCTCTTTCTGCACTCATTCATGTCCCTTTAATGCATGTTACTAACTCCACTTCTTCCCCGGAGTTCTTGTGCTTTCTCGTCTCGCAGGTTCTCATGGATCCTGGTGGAGCCTCCTGCCATGGTCCTGCTTGACTGCCATTGCCAATACTGTTGTTGCTGTGCACCTGTCTGTCTGTCTGTCTGTCTCTCTCTCTCTCTCTCTCTCTCTCTCTCTCTCTCTCTCTCTCTCTCACCCCAACTGGTCGAGACAGACGACCACCCACCTAGAGCCGGAGGATCTGTCCTAGGTTTCTGCCTTTTAACAGGCAGTTTTTCCTTGCCCTTGTCTCCAAGGTCTTGCTCATGGTGGTACTGTTGGGTCTCTGTAAATAATGTTTTAAAGAGTTCGGTCTAGACCTGCTCTATTTGAAAAGTGTCCTGAGATAACTTCTGTTATGAATTGGCGCTATACAAATAAAATTGAATTGAATTGAATTGAATTGAATTGAATCATCACCATCATCACCATCACAATCATCATCACCATCACAATCATCATCATCATCACCATCATCATCACCATCATCATCACCATCATCATCATCATCATCACCATCATCACCATCATCATCACCATCATCACCATCACCATCATCACCACCATCATCACCATCATCATCATCATCATCATCATCATCACGATCACCATCACCATCATCACCATCATCATCATCATCACGATCACCATCACCATCATCACCATCATCATCATCATCACAATCATCACCATCACCATCATCACCATCACCATCATCATCATCATCACGATCACCATCACCATCATCACCATCATCATCATCATCATCATCATCACGATCACCATCACCATCATCACCATCATCATCATCATCATCATCACAATCATCACCATCACCATCACCATCATCACCATCACCATCATCATCATCATCACCATCATCACCATCATCATCATCATCATCACCATCATCATCATCATCATCATTATCATCATCATCATTATCATCACCATCATCACCATCACCATCATCACCATCACCATCATCATCATCATCACCATCATCATCACCATCATCATCACCATCATCATCATCATCACGATCACCATCACCATCATCACCATCACCATCACCATCATCATCACCATCATCACCATCACCATCATCTTCATCATCTGATTGTCTCTGGTTGTTTTCTCAACTTTGTCCACTAGATGGAGACAAACACCAGGAAACTCTCTGCAGCAGATTTATAGTCTCCAATAAAGTTTGATTGAACAGTTTAAACTATATTGAACACATCAGAAGGACGATCAGCTGACACTTCTTTTTTAAATTTAAAAACAGGTTTTTAAAGTTTTACTTTCAATGTTAAATACAAATATTTTAACTGATAAACAAAGACAGGACAAAGTTAACCAAAAGTATGCCCACTGTAAAGCTGTTTACTGCTCAGAAGGAACCTGGTTGATCTACAGTTGCTCTAGTTTACAAACAAAGACAATATCAGAATGCAAATAATAATAACAACGTAAAAATATGTGCAGTTTATTACAATATATATCAACAATATATACGCACTGTAAAAACTGTCAACCGTGACAGTAAATCAACGTACAATATAAATAGGTTAAATGCTGTCTGTAGCAGTAAATGCCGTTATATCTCACGGCAAAACCTTTAAAGAATTTATACGGAATAAAGTTGTTTTTTTAATATTACAGACTGTAAATTGCACAGAAAACCATCACGTCTGCATATTGCTGCTGATGGTGAAAACTTAAAATCAACAATGTATCTTTTTACCGTAATAATACCATATTTATTACAGTAAAGTTCTGGCAGACACTGGTGTTTTCACACACAGCAACAATCACATCCCGCAATTAAAACCTAAAATAAATGATTTAAACCAAAAATGCATCAAAATTCTCCATTTAAACACAATGTTAACATTCTGTTCCAATAAACAGTCACAGCTCTGCGCTCTGTGCACATTTTCTTTTCTACTTAAATAAATAACCAAAAAGTAAACTTTAGTTAGTTTAACTCAAACTGTTTGAGGAAACCGATCGAAACCGTTTATTAACTCAAACAATTTAAGATATTTAATTTGAGTAACTCAAGTATTTATTGTTACGTTAACTTGGATAAATTAAGTTCATTGTTCCAGTTCACTCAAAACAAACAAACATATTTTAAATGTGTTCACAGAATATATCTCAATAAAGTTATTTAAATTTGTTTCTTCCACTAAAGCAAATTATTACATCATCTGTCAAAACAGCTGACGTATGATTAAAGTTTATTATTAATTATCAAACTTAGAGCAAATTAATTTAGTTACTGCTGTTGTGAAGTTGTTAAAGTTGTTAATTTACATTTTGGGGGATTATTAAGAATTATTGGATTGATAAACTGAAATAAATACAAAAATGGAAAAATAATTATGTAAATTCATCTTAAAGAAAATAAGTCAGTGGAACAAACTTAATTATAGTTATAATTATTATATCAGCAATATTTTAAATACTGCACAAATATAAGTTCACTGAAACAACTCATTTGAATCCAGATGTTTTGGAGGATTAATTTATGTTAATTTACTTATTTTATTAAGATGTGTTGTCAGGTTTTACATCCAGATAAAGACATTAACTATTGTCAGCGTACAATATGTTGTATATCAGCAGTATTCATGTTCACACTGGTTTTTATCTCAGATTGGACTTTTAGATGATTTCTCTCTGCTGTCTTTGAGAAGAAGAAGAAGAAGAAGAAGAAGAAGAAGAAGAAGAAGAAGAAGTGATTCATGGAGGAAAATAAAAAAGAGTTTGTTTGAAAGAAATGAAAGAAGTTGGTTTTATTTCACTGACATCCTCACAGTGTGTGGTGTTCCCCAACCAGCAGGGGGCGCAACGTCTCCACAGGACAACCACTGAAGACTCACAAATACTTTTATTCTTGTTGGAGTTCCTGTAATTTCAAAATAATTACTAATATAATAACTCATACACCTTTTAACTGTCATCAACTTAAACTGATAAAGAGAAAAACACATGGAGATCAACAATAATGTCAATCATCAGAATAATAATAATATAGAGAAACAACAGATCAATGAAACCAAACTTTAATAAAGAAAAACCCCTTTAACAGAACAATAAGGTCCCATAAAGCTGCAATAATAATATATATTTGTATGTGTGTGTGTGTGTACAGTGCTGATATAAAGGTCACAGATTCACTGTAAACACGAGATTGAAGAAAACAACCAAATGAATGAATTATTATTTCTCTTTTTTTATTATTATTATCCTTTTTTAATATGAACTTTATTTTATACGTCTGCTTTATTTCCTTCATACAGTCGCAGCTGTTTGCTCTGTAAAGACCACGCCCACTTCCTGCCTCTAACATTAAACAGTTTCTATTGCTGTTATTGTTCCTCGGCCACTTTAAAAACACACATTTTTCATTTTCTTGTCACAGTTTTGTTTTCGTTGCAGTCGTGGTCACCTTCACAGTAAAAGTCCAGAGAGGATGGTGGAGACATTAGAGGCGTTCAGGGGACAAGTCGGCGGGTAAAAACCAGAGGACAAACAAGGTTTGGACATCTGGAGCCGCCACTCAAACCTGCATTCATTAACCTCCTCTGTTAATTAATTAAAGACACGTCAGGTTCAATTAGCAGCAATTAAAGAGCCGGAATGATATTAATGGACTGTGATCGCCATCTGAAACCGAGCGGGGCGGTCCCTCTGCCTGCTGCCTGTAAGACCGGACTGAGGGCTCACAGCCTGACAGACCAGGCGACTAACAATACTTTAAGAGTATTTATGTTTCTGACAACCTTTTACATTTTTACACAAATATCTGAACTTTCTTCTGTTCATGGTTTAAAAACAGACTTTAGTTTAGTTTGAATGCATTTATTGATTATTATTATTACTAGTTTGCATCATTGAACAGTTCACATGACAGACGTAAGACCAAGAAAACGACATAAAAGACAAACATACAGTTTGTAAAAACCAACTGAGGACTTTTATACTCAGTATCAGTATCTTCTACTCCTCAGAGTATGACAGTAAAAGTACTCTGCTGGATGTTTCTGACTGTTTCTGTGAACAGTGAACAGTGAATGGATTTCCTCCATGTTAGCTCTGTCCTGTGTGTGAACCAGTGTTGATGTTGGGAAGGTGTGTAATGATGTAAAATAATAATCAATCATCAATAATCTCCTCAGATGCATCCACACTTAAGTAACAATCCTGTTTTTAAACATAAAAATCTGAAATATAAAAACTAAAAAAGTACAGACACCTGGAAATAAAGTTGATAAGATCTACTGAGTTAATTTAATTAAAATGTTCTCGTTAATAAACACATTTCTTGTGCTTCTTTATAATTAAATAAATAATAAAATAATGCTAACGTTATTAATGTAAAACAGAGAGGAAGGTAAAGTGTGATTGATGCTTTTTACTGTAAACAAATATTTTTCTCCAGTCGGCAGAATTTCACTTTCTGCATTTTTGGACAAAAGGAGATTTTCGCCGACTCCTCGGCCGCATCTTCACAAATTGTTCTTATTATATTATTATATTGTTATTATATTAAACACTCAAAACACTAATCTATACGCACACAGTACATACTGTATGCAAATGAACGCATCACAAACACAGTATACTGTGTTTGTGATGCGTTCATTTGCATTTACAGAACTAAAATTTGTGGTTCTTCTAAACAAAATAATTAATATCAGTAAAAGAAGAGTGATCAAAATTATGATTTATTATCAGTCAGAGAAATAAAATCACTTCTTTCATTTAGTTTTACTAAAATATTACATATTTATAATTTTATTGAATATTCCTTGTCCTATTATTTTGTCCTGTTAAAGGTTCATTCTGTGCTGTTGGACTGTGTGAATAAAACCAACTCCTCTGGTGATTGAATCTCTTCTTTATCCTCAATTTATAATAATAATAATAATAATAATAATATCATCCTCTGTTTAATAAAAACAGAAACAATCAAACTATGTTTATTCCCAATAAAAAAAATAAAATCTCTCTCTGTCTCCTCTTGGTGTCGCTCTTCCCTCGCTCGCCCGTCTCTCTGCTGGGATGAAGGGAATTCCCCGAACTGGGACGACTGGAAATCCCTCTGCAACACACACACACACACACACACACACACACACACTGTTACACACTTACACACACACTGTTACACACACACACACACACACACACTGTTACACAAACACACTCTCAGTTGAAGGTCGACCGCTTTGTTTCCTCTCATTTTATTCTCGTTTTTCTGGCTTCTCGTCTGTTTTTCTTCTTTCTGTTTGGAGCCGACTGCAACGAAACCAAGAAACAAAAACACGACCAGATAACAGAATGGATTTAATAGAAGGAAATAAAATAATAAAAGAGTGAATCAGTCCAACAATAAAACAGACGACTACAATAAAATAAAGTCAGTAGAACGTGTCAGTCTGAGGACCTAAAAGAGGACTGTCAGTCACCGTCCAATGAGACGCAGCGAGTGGTTTGACGGACAGCTGAGGTTTAATTAATCTCATCAGTCCGACTGGAAGAACTTTTTAAAACCAAACTTTACTTTAAAAACAGCCGATTTAAGGTTTCACATCAGATTGAAACACATTTAATTCAAAGTGATTTCATATTTAATCAATTGAAATTTTGATTGGTTTCAGATATTGAACAGATTAAATGATAAATCCTCTCCAGTTCACTCTGACTCAATTTAAACTGAACTGGTTGGAATCACATGATGTCTGCAGGAACTCTGGTTTATTGATCATTTGATTATTTCTAATGAAGAATGAAGGTCTGATTGATTTAGAGTTTGTTCTGATCAGAAACCTTAACGAGCCTGAGGTCCGATCGATTGATCTCAGCTGACTGAAGTTGTCAGAGTCTAAATTCAAAATCACATTTGGATTTAAAACAAAGAAACTAAAACACGAGGATGAGGTTAAATGAATATAAAACATGTAAATGATTTTATAATATATAATAAACATATAAATTATATTACTATAGACTGACAGCGCCATGGTAACAGTATAAATATATAATAATGGACTTGTAGAACCAAGAAATGTTGAGCATAAAGTTTTGTTAGAAATTTAGTTGGTGTCTCCATATAAAATCAATAAATCAATAAATCAGTTAACATTTCGCTTTATAGCAAAACACCAGTTAATGAACATCAGTAATTAAAGAACTTTCTAACTGTTTTCAGTGATTCTGGTGAAACTGGATCAGATTTTATAGGGAAAATATTTTCCCGTTAGCGGGCCACTGAACCGGGCTCAGCAGCCGGACTGGGATCGAACACAGCCTCCGAGACCCACAGGGAATAACGTTACAGTACCGAGGTCATTTACAGAGTTTCTGATTGTTTTCAGTCGTTCTGATTTTTGTCACATCTGCTGCCGTATTTCTTCTTTCTTAAAAGTCAGGAAATGAAAACTCTGATGTCCCCAAATCTCCCAAAGTTCAGTTGTTAGACCTAAGTATTTTTAAAACCCTTCGTACCGTCGTTCCTCTGAGGCCCCGAAACACTGAAACACCCCGTAATGTGTGTGTGTGTGAGTGTGTGTGTGTGTGTGAGTGTGTGTGAATGTGTGTGTCTGTGTGTGTGTGTGTGTGTGTGTGTGTGTGTGTGTGTGTGTGTGTGTGTGTGTGTGTGAGTGTGTGTGAGTGTGTGTGTGACAGCTGGCCCATCTGACTTTGCCGTGACATCTGGGAAACCCGCCGGTGCGCCGCCGCGAATGCCGGTTGATGTCGCTATTTAAATGCAAATGTGTGTGTGTGTGTGTGTGTGTGTGTGTGTAGCTCTCGCACTATCACACACACACAAAAGGAAACACTTCACACACAATAATGACGGAGGGTTTAACACACACACTCTGCAGCGCTGCGACTCGCTCGCTCGCCGGCTGCAGACAGAAACACGTTTATTATCAGCTGGATGTTCTTTAATTAAATAAACTGCTTTTAATTTACTGTCATTTGACCTCTTTTATTCTGTGAATTCATTCCAACAAAAACAGTCAAATACATGAAATAAAACATTTATTTATTTGGAGAAAAGAGCTTTATTTAATGTAAAAGACACAGAAACAATAAAATAATCATTTTATTAAAACACTCAAACACTGTTTAAAAAAATATTTATTTTATTTAAGGTGGAATGAAGATTTTGTTCTACCTGAAAGCAGAACTCAACAAATTCCTTTTTTTCTTCATCAGACACAAATTATAAAGTGAAAACAGTCAGACTGAACACTTGAATCTGTCTCCGCTGTTCAGAACCTCATAGAGAAAACGATTGATTTAAGGGCCACAGAGGAGAATAAAACGAGGTGAAACAATAAATCTACATTCAGTAAAAGTGAGAAATAAAGTTTTATTTATTTATTAGGAAAAAATATTTTATTTTATGTAAAAGACACAAAAACAATAAAAATATATTTTTTTATTAAAATTGAGATTAAAACACTGAACCATGTACAAAACACGCCTTTATTTAAGGTGGAATTAAGAGTTTCTTCTGCCTGAAAGATCAACAGACTCCTTTTGTTCTTTGGTCAGAGGCAGAAATGTGAATAAATGTGAGTTAAAATTCAGACTGAACACAAATTGAATCTGTCTCCGCTGTTCAGAACCTCGTAGAGAAAACGGAGGATTTTAGGGCCACAGAGGACAATAAAACGAGGTGAAACAATAAATCTACATTGAATAAAAGTGTGAGAAATAAACGGCATCTGATATCTGATAACGTCGCGCTGATCGATGGAGGCGGTGGCGGCGGCGGTCGGATCCGGAGTTTAAAGGATGTAACCAAGTTCATGTAAATGAGATCAAACCAGGAAAAAGGCGCCGCAGGGTGCGAACGCTTCAATCAATAACGACAGGAATTCATCAGGATGTCTGAGGAAGATTTACACACTTTTATTTCAGCTCACCAGACTTTATATTTCCTGCTTTATATTGATCCACTGATTGATTGTATTGATCCACTGATTGGTTGTATTGAGCAGCTCTCTACGCTGCACAGACTCCTCAGTTCAGTGTTTTATTGGTTTCACAGAGACAATATTTCCTTTATTACAGGAACCTAAAGGGGTGATCATGGAAGTATTGATTACCAGCACAAACTGATGGATTGATTTCTCTCCGTTTATTTATTCTCTGATCTTCTTCAGTCAGAAACAACAGTACGAGCAATATGTGAGGACACAATGTAGTTTATACGCTACAGAGTATAAACACAAACAAGGTAAATAAAAGAAACAAACAAAGTAAATAAAAGAAAGAAACAATATATTGATAGAAATAAAATAAACAAAGTGAAATTAATGAAAATTCTACATTTAAAAATCTGAAATAAATCCCCCCCCCTGCAGGTTGGGGAGTTGTCCCGAAAGACCGAACCCTCATTTGGAAACCAGATTGCCCCCCACACCCTCCTCACCCCTCACCCCCTCCTCCTCAACCCCCCCTCCCTTTTATTCGTCCATTTAAATTGAATTATCGTCTTCTTATTACCGACAAAACCTACAGCAAGAAACCTGCTGATCAATATCATTATCAATATTAATATATCTGTAATTATTATTATTACCACAATGATTATCATTAGGCCGGTGTATTATATCAGGTATTGATCAGGTATCGATTGATTTGTTTCTGCTGCTGTTGAAGTGAATTTTCTACTTTTTAAAAAGACAAAAAAAGTTCACTCACCGTCTCCTCTTCCTCACTTTCTCTTTTTCTTCACCGTTTTCTTCTCGCTGGAACAAAGTGAATCCTCCTTGCTTCCTTTCTGCTCTTCTTTCTTTACCTCCTCCTCCGACTGCTCCTCTTTTCTTCATCACTGGAAGCAAATTCATCTTCATTTCTTCCTTTTTCTCTTCTTTCCATTCCTCCTCTTCTTCCCCCTTCTCCTCTTCTTCTTCCTCCTCCTCCTCCTCTTCCTCCTCTCAGTTTATTCTCCGTCTCTGAAAACATAAATCTCCTCTTCCTCCTTCTCTCTCTCATCTCAGTTTAAACTGATTTTCTCTCCTCCTCCTCCTCCTCCTCCTCCTCTCTTCGTGTTCCAGCTCTTCGGTCCGGACTTGGTCCACCCCTCGGAGCCTCGGAGGCCTTCGACCCCCCAGAAGACCGGAGCGCTCTTACTGTGAAAACCCTGTCTCACTTCCTGCCTGTCTGTCTGTCTGAGTGAGGAAGAGGATGATGATGATGATGATGAAGATGATGATGATGATGAGTGTTTGTTTCTTACTTCACGTAAAAAAAACATTAAAACAAAATAAAATGACGACATAAAATAATAAAATCAGTGCAATTAAAATAAAAACATGTTAATTTGTCTCCATGGTAACATTTGCTATAAACTGCTGCAATATTATAAATATAATAATATATCAGAATATTATGGGAATATTTTAGCTGAATGTTGGAATGAACTTTATAGTGTTGAGTCTGGCGCCCCCGGTGGACAACAGCGGTAGAGTTTCTGCCTCGTTTCATTGATTTCAAGGGGAATGGACCGGCAGAGTATGTACAGTTTTTAATAAAAACTATACAGAAACATCCAATCTGCTCTCTGATGGTTGTTACAACCAAACCGCAAAAGTATTGTTACCATGACGACGGACGTCACCGGACTTTCTGCGTCCTTTCCTGCACCTCCAAAACTTTCCATCTATAAGTGTTAAATGTTAAACGTGTAAATACCAGAATGAGCTGAGAGAGACTGTAAATATCACAGAAACAGACGAGCTGAAAACATCGTTTGACCTTTGACCTGGAGATCTTTTTAACAGCCTCGTCATCTCGTCTTCAGTCAATCAATCAATCAATCAATCAATCAATCCCTCCAAGATGTCGCAGCCTTTTTTTGGCATCGTTGTGGCCTAAAATTCCTGATTTTATAAAAACTTGAAGTTTTTTGCAGCAAAATTGACGGAAAAAGTGAAAATTACAAAAATTACTGCGATTTTCTTTGTTTAATTGATTAAAAATGGAGTTCCAGAGAGAATGAAGTGCATGAAGGGTCGATCAGCTCGCACACAGTCACTCTGCTTTTACTGGAGATATGAGGACGGGATCCCTCACCAGCTTCCCACCAGAGACTGGAACCAGTTCAGACCTTCAGAGAGAGAGAGAGAGAGAGAGTAATACTGTCTCTCTCTCTCTCTCTCTCTGTGGTTGGTCGGTTTGAGCGCCCGCCTCCTCCCCCTCCTCCATCTCTCGCACTCCTTCTCTCTTTCTCTCTCTCTCTCTCTTTCTTCCTCTCTCTCCTCACACACTCACACACACACACACACACACACACTTTCACCTCTCCTCTCCATATACGGTCAGGCCCCGCCCCCCCCCACGGCTGTGATGTCGTCAGCGGCTCGGAGGAAGACCCGTGGGGTTTTTGGGTTTTGGCGTCCAGTCCTGTGGGGCCGCAGGGCTGAGAGTTTCTCCTTCGCTCCTCATCCCTCCATCATCGGCCCGCCTCTCCTCCTCTCTGCTCCTCTCTTTGGGGAAAAGAAAAAAGACACTTTGCTCGCGCTCGATTCGCCGTCCGGACTCGACTCTGTTCTTCCCCTCGTTTTCTCGTCCTCTGAGGATTTTATTTCTCTTTTCCCTTTTTTTCCTCCTCCTCCTTCCTTTCTTCCAACATGACGGCCAACACTGAGAATTTTTAAAAAATAAACTCTCAGAGAAGAAATCCTGTTTGTGCTGCTTCCAGTAAAAAGTTGAATTAAATCTAAAAACCAGACAAAAAGTTGAGCTGTTGAATAAAACTCCGGCCTCACTTCCCGATTCTTCTTCTTCTCCTTCTTTTCTCCGTGCTCCTTCCTCCTCGCCGGCTGCTTTCTGACTTCGAGGCGTTTCGGTGAAGAAACTGTCGACCGACCAGAAGATCTCCGTCCGTTCTGTAGAGCTGCTTTTTTTCGGTTGGACTTTTCTCCTTGTTTTTTGCTCGTGTCGCTCTCTCACTGCGTCGGCAGCATTTGGAGCGTCGGGGCCCCGGAGATGTTCGGGATCCAGGACAACCTGCCCCGCGGGGCCACAGCCAGCATGAAGGAGGAGCCGCTGGCTGTTCGCTCCTGGATGCACTCGGCCGGCGTGGTGGACGCCAACACGGCCGCTCAGAGGTAAACTCACCGCCGCCCACTGCCGCCCCCAGAGGGATTCTGGGAGCTGTAGTCCCAGCGGACAAACAGCCGCTCAGCAGGAGCGTTTAGATCAGGAGGGGAGCGCTTTAATCGTACTAGATTTCTGATCTGTTCTCTCGTTTCTGCTGTTTGTTCTTGAGGCAAATATCCAGAAACAAAATTCCTGCAATCATTTCAAATATTAGTGATTTTTTTAGGAGGAAAACTCTAAGAAATTTAAATTAAAAAATGCTTTAATAGTTTTTAGATGATGAAAATGTTTCAGGACATGTATTAGAAGATTTATAAGGAAAATGTTTAAGTTAAAGCTCTTCAGGAAACGGCAGATTTTTTATGTAAAATTATCATTATTAACAGTTTGAATCAAATAATTCTTTTCATTAGATATTTGTTCCTGATGTTTCTGGTTGAAGTTGCTCGGGACAAAGTGAGGTTAACGGGACATTTATCAAAAGGAAAAAAGCCGTGGAAGCTTTAGGCTGAAGAAAATCAATTATTAAAAAGCAGAAACATCTCTCTAATAATATTATTATTATATTTCTGATCTTTCTTGAGGTCAAAAATAAAAATCAGTTCCTGAAGTAAAAGGATGAAGGTTTGAATCTGCAGCTCAGAGGAAGAAAAGTGCTCGTTTGCAGGTTTCAGTTTTTAAATTGTGCAGCTGAAACAGACTGAGAGCTTCAGATTTATTGATAATTTAGAAAAGTGTTGAAGTGAAGGTCAGAGCTGCAGAGTCTGACAGGAGGATTCATTTCAGGTTAAAGAGGTTCAAACCGCAGCTCTGAGGAAAATAAATGTTATTAATAATAATGTTTAATCTGCCCTCCGAACAGAAGCGCTCCTGCTGAGTTCAGTCTGAGAGCGTGCAGATTGTTCACACTCAGAGCTGCACATGAAACATGATTATTCACGCCATTAACATCTGTGAAATCCTTAATATTACTAATATTTTCAACATTATAATTCCAATAAAGCAGGAGCGTGTGCCGACCTAAGTGAGTGAGTGCAGAGACGGCGGCTCCGAGCTGCAGATCCAGTGTCAGTTTTTAAACATTTCTGACATTCAAACATTTTCAAGTCCAAATCTGTTAAATTTTGAATTTAATGACAAACAGAAAGTGTCAAAGTCAGCCCAAACTGCAAGGAAAAACAGAAATGTATATTATTCACATTATTTTTATGAACAATTGTACAATGAAAAGATGGTTTATGACATAATTACAAACAGCTGAATGTGCTGAAACATCAGTGAGTCATCAGAGCTGCAGATTAAAGGCGACATTTTTAATACACGTATGTTAAATTATCATTATTAATCTTTAGATAAACATGTCAGTAAAGCAGCAGTAAAAAATACAAGCTCATGATTACATACCTGAAGTGACTCAGTGAATCAGCTCATAAGATGGAAATTCAATTAGATTTTTGTCATTTTAAACATATGTAAAAATTATATTATTACAAGTTTAATATAAATATTCTGAAGGAAAAGATAAAGCAGAGTCTGTGACGGTCTCATGAATAATTCTCTGTGTTGAAGCAGCAGCTCTGTGTGAACTTATATTGACACTGCAGATCAAACTTGTATGTAAAATTATATTCGTGTAAAATTGTCATTATTAACAATTAGAAAATTAACATAAAGTGTAAGTGTGAATTACAGTTAATGATATGGTTGTTGAATAAATGTGCTGAAACACATTCTTCGTGAATCTTAATGTATTTATTCATATAAGGATGCAGATAATTTAAGATTTATTTCATGCTTCTGACATATGTAAAAATTATAAAATTCGTTTATGATGAATGAGTGTTAGAGTGAAGCACAGTTGACAGTTTGTGTCGTTAGAAATCCTCTGATGGGACATCGGAAACATCCAAGCTGCAGAAACCAGATTTTTAAATTTTTGAAGTATGTAAAATTGTCATTATAAACAGTTTTAATAGAAAAGTACATTAAAACATCAGTGTAAAATAAAACACAGTTCAGACTTTATCTGATTGTTACAAATTGCTGAATGTGTTGAAACAGCAGGTCTCTGTCTCAGGACACTTTATCTGCTAAGAGTTGGACAAAAGTTGAATTTTTCCTTTTTTGACATATGTAAAATTCTCATTATTAACAATTTCAATACAAATATTCCAATGAAGCAGCAGTGTAAAATAAAAGAGTGCAGACTTAATGACGATTGTAAGAAAGACCTGAATGTGCTCAAACATTAAGTCTTAGTGAATCTCAATATATTTATTCACATGAGGACGCAGATAAATATAGATTTTAAAAACATTTCTGATGTATGTAAAAATGATGAAATGAGTTTATGATGAACAGAGTGTTAGAGTGAAGCACAGTCCACAATTTGTGACTGTGTCGTCTCTGTTGGGACATCAGGAAGAATCCGAGTTGCAGAAACCAGATTTTTACATTTAAATGCATTTTTTAAACATTCGTGTCGTATGTAATTTTAACAATTTCTATTAAAAAAATCCCAGTGAAGCAGCAGTGTAAAATAAAGCACAGTTCAGAGTCAATGATGATTGTTAGAAAGACCTGAATGTGCTCAAACATTAAGTCTTAGTGAATCTTAATGTCTGTTCATATGAGGACGCAGATACATTTTAATTTCTAACGTATGTAAAAAAGATGAAATAAGTTTATGATGAACAGAGTGTTAGAGTGAAGCACAGTCCACAGTTTGTGTCGTTAGAAATCCTCTTTTGGGACATCAGGAAACATCAGCTGCAGAAACTAGATTTTTACATTGTTAACTCAATTTTTAAAAACATTTTTGACGTATGTAAAATGTTTGACAATTTCAATAGGAAGGTCAGCGAAGCAGCAGTGTAAAATAAAATACAGTCCTTGCTTTATGACGTGGTCGTTGCGAGGCTCTGTGTGTGGTTCAGGACAGAATATCTGCTACGATTCAGATAAAAGTTTCATTTTGACATTTCTGACGTATGTAAAATGAACAGTTAGGTTTGGAAGGAGCAGCAGAATAAAATCAGATCATCATGAAGTCTGTCGGGTGGAAGCTGGAGCCGTGCGCAACGTGAATTAATATTAATTAACAATAAGCTGTTGTTAAATGATCATTTTCATGACTTAATAAATTTGATATTGGGCCTCTAGCTTCACTCTGACTTTTTCTTTTTGTCTCTTTGTGTCAAAATTCAACCAAATATAAAAATACAAATATGACAAATGTTATAAGTCGAATTTTAATGAGTGAATATGTTTGCAGTCGGGGTCAAAGCTGCAGTTTGACTTCTTCATTATGAATATTTATAGAGCTCCACATGCACACGTGATTCAGTGTTTGCTGTGAATTTAAAGCGTTTTGTATTATTTGAATATTCCCAGACGTTTGAAACATGTTGTTGTTAACATGATTCATTCATGTGGAGGTTAAAGCCTGAAGCTTCATGTCACTTCTCGCTGAAGATTCTCACAGTTTTATGAATATTTTGCTCTCAGATCATGAGTTCACTGAATTATTACCTCCAATTAACATTTGTGTTGTGATAGAAAGGTGTTTTACACGTTGGAGGTCAAACCTGAAGAGTTTAATGGAGGAACTCACACTTTATCTATTTCTGATCATATATGAAGATATTTTTCATCCTGGCTCATTTCTGTTTTATGGTTTTCAGTTCAAGTATCAGTTATTGGAGGAAACACTTTATTATAATTTTATGTCTTTTTTTATCATTTAAACATGTCGGAGACGCTGATTAATTGATGACATGTTTGATGTGATGAAAGTCAGCTGAACCTGCGTCGCAGTCGATGAGCATTTCCTCTGAGGAGCGTTTGATTTAAACTCCGGTTTGACGCAGATTTGGGTCACATGAAGGGTTTTTAATGTATTAATGTGGAGTTAATGAATTGAGTTCATTTTAAAATGGGACTCTTGTTGTCTTGTTGAGGAGATGTTTCCTGATTCTGTAAAATCAGAAACAAACATCACCTCTTTACGAAACCTTTCTGGCTCTAAAATGAGGAACTGAGAGATGAATGTTTTCAGATGTTTTACACTGTGAGGAGATAAAAAATTACTTTTAAAAGAGGCAGATTTGATGGGCGGGGCCACAGATCTGCCATCAAGTTCAATTTTGAGTTTTAAATCTTTTTTCCCAGTAATTTGGGATAAGAGCAATTTTTATACAAAGATTTTCAGCTTTGACTGGTTCGTCTTGTCTCAGTTCATATACAGTGAATTCATAGAGCTCATTTCTTTGACTCTATGTGCACAATTCTATTTAAAATTTAAAAGGCAAAATGTTGGTTTGGTATGTTTTCTGTAAAATGCAATTTAAATTTAATCATCAGTTCTCAGGTTGTTAGACCCCAAATAAATATACAGAAAAATTATGTCTGTGTTCAGTGGGAGCTGTTGGTGAGTTTAAGTTGTCTCATACGTCTGTCTGTGTCTGTCTCTCAGCGGGGTGGGGTTAGCCCGTGCTCACTTCGAGAAGCAGCCTCCGTCCAATCTGAGGAAGTCCAACTTCTTCCACTTCGTGCTGGCGCTGTACGACCGGCAGGGTCAGCCGGTGGAAATCGAACGCACCACCTATGTCGACTTTGTGGAGAAAGAGAAGGTGAGGAGCGGGAGGGAGGAGGGAGGAGCTGGGACACAAAACAAACACATCTCATGGTCACTGCCAACGCATTCACCAAATCTTCAGAAAACCACAAAAAAAACAACATAAATTCCGTCATGAAGTTTTCAGTTGAATGAAAGACACCCGTTACAGCTTGCTTAGCTCCACCCGTGCAAATAATTTCCAATATAACAGCGACGTTTGCACTCACTCATGTTTTACTTTCAGCTTCAAAACTATTTGAATCGCATCTCCACCCAGGTGTTTGAGTCCAAACGCACCCAGAGCTCACAGAGCAAATCAGGTGTCAGAAACCAAACGTTTCAGTGTGTTTGATTTTGTGTTCAGGAGCCGACTGGAGAGAAAACCAACAACGGGATTCATTACAAACTGCAACTGCTCTACAGCAATGGTGGGTGCGCTTGTTTTACTGCACAGCATCTTCAATAAAAGGAACTAATTTACAGGAAAAAAACATTTATTAAACATTAATTATTAATGTAAAAAACATCACTTTAAACTTTAAACAATAATATTAACATGTTTGTGTTTGTGCTCAGGAGTCAGAACGGAGCAGGATCTCTACGTCCGGTTGATCGACTCCATGACCAAACAGGTAAGATATTGATTTTATATTATCAGGTTAGATAATGAGGATGATTAGTTCAGACTGCAGCAGATTAAAATCTCAAGTTAAAGTGAAAAGTCGATCGATCAGCAGATCAAATAACAGGAGAAAATCCAGTTATATTTCAAAATAAGAGCGTGTCTTTTCGTCCTGCAGTCCGAGCTGTCAGATTAAAGTTCAGGCCGACTTCTCTTTGACACCTCAAACGTTTTCTGACAGTTTGTTGTTTTTCTGGTCAGACAGACTTCTTCTCCTCCTCCACCTCCTCCTCCTCCTCCTCCTCTGTCTCCTCGTTCACACTGAAATATTTCTGATATATTTCCTGGATATCTCTCTGTGCTCTCTAATGTTCTTATGAATCCAGACTGATCGGATCAGTCGGCAGAGTCATTCATCAACCTGAGCGGCAGCAGCAGCAGCAGCTCTGTGGCCCACAAACACAACTCTACATACATGTGCAAACAAACATATGAACCAGTTAATATAAATGTCTTGAACTGTCCATCATAAAATATACAATAAAAATGACAAAATGGCTCATAAAGACAGAAAAATATGAAAAATGTATCTGTTCCTATAGAAAGAAAAAATAAACTAATAAAGAATAAAAATGTAACGTCCAGTTAGACTTTCAAAATAAAGCTTGGTTTACCTTAACTTAGGTACGTTACCTAAAAGCAATGGTTGACTGTTAGTTTCGCACGGGAAACCAGCACCTCCAGACTTTCTCGCTCGCCGCCTGACTTAATAACTACATCTTAGGACATTCCCAGGTTGTCAAAGCCAGACGCAGTTTTGTCCCGCCGCCCTCGGCGTCTCATACAGACAGGGGTGTTGACTCGGGTGTCTCAGCTTTCCATCATTCCCAATTTATACAATTCCAACACTGTTCATGGACCTGTGTGTAGGAATATTCAAATACACTAGGAGATAATAATAAAACATTTATACTTCTTGCAAATAACTGCATGGTTTTTGTACAAAAACTGCACAGGATTAGCATAAAGTGTCTGTAAAGGAGAGACTCATGGGTCATTCAGATATCTTCAGGTCAGAGGTCAGTGGATCCTTTAGAAAGTGGCCATGGCAGTTTTTCAATCACCAAACGTTAGCCGAACTTGGAGCGTTATTTAGCCTCCTTCACAACATGCTAGCATGACATGGTTGGTACAGACGGATGGAAAGCTTTAAAACAAGGTGTCCTTCCAGCCCCGAGATGCCTTTTAAACGCCTGGTTGTGAAACGTTTGGTCTGGTTAAGAAAACAGGATTTGGGAGATCCAGGTTATGTTACCATTACTGCGGAAACAACACGTACGTAAAGTTACGAAACTTTTAGTTTCATAAATAATAAAAAACTGTTCAAATCTTAATTCCTGAAAAACCTGACAACCATTTACAGGTAATTACTGTAAATATTGGTTGGTTGAATTGATGGTATTTACATTCGTTCAGCTGTGCAGCTCTCTACGCCGTACAGCCTGTCCTGGTCCAATCAGAGCTTTCTGTAACTTTACAGGGAACTACCGGGCGGCAGTCAGCGTTGGATCTAGAGACAGATACTGACTGACATATCTGCTGAGTTTATCTCAAACAATAATTTATATCAATATTTACTTAGACAAGCTGCCAAATGAAGATATTTGAACTCAAAAACAATATTGTGGCTCATTAGTGAAGCACTGAATAGAAAAATCTAAAGGTGGGATTAGGAATCAATACATTGTTTTGTCTCTTTTCATTGAATTCAAGCTGATCAATGAATCAAGAAAGCTTAATGTCATTGGTGTGAATGTTCAGACATAATATTTCTTCAGTTCTGTGTCTCTGTCGCTGTGGTTATGGATTAATCCTATAAATAACCTGAATATTGATTCAAAATTAAATAAAATCAGCCCACTCCATATAGCTGATTATTAATGCTAATTATGCTAATTGTCCAATTATATATGCAAGTTAGCATCTGTCAGTGTGTAAATACTGAAGACCCAAACTGTACATTTCTAACATTAAACTTTGTACACAATATTTCTGGTTGATAATGGGGAAATATTGGCTGTGAACAGATGACTTAATTCATTTCTTTAATTCTTTAACAGGTTATTTTTAGAATCGGAGGGACATTTCCACTGTAGATCCTCTGCTGGGCTCTGTAGTGTTACTGTAATTGATGATAAAAACAGGAGATAATGAGCCTGTTTTATCTTCTGCTGTTTGTTTGTGAGCAGTCAGACTGTATCAGTGTGAATAAATCTGTACACATCTTGCTGCTGTACGACACCACTTCCTCTCTCTCTCTCCTGGGCGTGAGACACAGTGGATGATAAATCAGGGAGAGTCTGATCACAGAGCGACTGAGGCTGGAACCATCTGTTAGAAACCGTCTCTTCTTACAGTCAGACAGACGGATGTTAATGCTGCTTTCTGTTCGTTGAAAGTCGACCGAGTCTACAGCGTCTGGTCTGATCTCATCTAAAGTCACATTGTTCTGAATGCACCAACAATTAGAGGACGCACCGAGAAGTCTGCATCAAGAATGAAAGTACATCACTGCCAATTAAAATGTGCCCAAAAAAACTGACAGCATTTTGCTTATTGTTAGCTAGATAGCAATTTGTCCGTGTTAGCAAGCTAACGTTATCCAGCTAACAGTACAATCAGACAATATGTTCCACTAGCTTAGCAGTAATGTTAGCTTTGACTTTGGACTCTGTGTTGTGGACTCTGTGTTGGACTCTGTGTTGTGGACTCTGTGTTGTGGACTCTGTGTTGGACTCTGTGTTGGACTCTGTGTTGTGGACTCTGTGTTGGACTCTGTGTTGTGGACTCTGTGTTGTGGACTCTGTGTTGGACTCTGTGTTGTGGACTCTGTGTTGGACTCTGTGTTGGACTCTGTGTTGTGGACTCTGTGTTGGACTCTGTGTTGGACTCTGTGTTGTGGACTCTGTGTTGGACTCTGTGTTGGACTCTGTGTTGTGGACTCTGTGTTGGACTCTGTGTTGGACTCTGTGTTGTGGACTCTGTGTTGGACTCTGTGTTGGACTCTGTGTTGTGGACTCTGTGTTGTGGACTCTGTGTTGTGGACTCTGTGTTGGACTCTGTGTTGTGGACTCTGTGTTGTGGACTCTGTGTTGGACTCTGTGTTGTGGACTCTGTGTTGGACTCTGTGTTGGACTCTGTGTTGTGGACTCTGTGTTGTGGACTCTGTGTTGGACTCTGTGTTGGACTCTGTGTTGTGGACTCTGTGTTGTGGACTCTGTGTTGGACTCTGTGTTGGACTCTGTGTTGTGGACTCTGTGTTGTGGACTTTGTGTTGTGGACTCTGTGTTGGACTCTGTGTTGGACTCTGTGTTGGACTCTGTGTTGGACTCTGTGTTGTGGACTCTGTGTTGTGGACTCTGTGTTGGACTCTGTGTTGGACTCTGTGTTGGACTCTGTGTTGCCCACTGTTGGCACTGTAGGGAAGCGGAGAGAGAAGGCACTCAGGAGCATAAAGGTCACAACCTTTGACCCTCATCCTACATAGAGACACATAGATTCCATTTGAGTGAAATAAACAGTGATTTGTTCAAACCAGCCAACCAACCTTCCTGCTCTCCAGGCACTGATCTGTCCTGTAGCGCCACCCTCATGATGAAAGTGGCTCAGTCGGCGCTCTCTCTGTACAGTGACGGTGATGGAAACAAGCAGCTCAGCAGTCGGAGTGTTTAAACCTAACGAGTCATTCAATTAGTGAGGCTTTAACGAGCGTGCCCGTCAGGCGTCGTTTGCGTCGTGTGATCCGTTCTTTGTGGGAGAAGCTTTTCATGGTTCCAGCTGTTTCATATGAATGTCTGCAGCTGTAATGAAACACACACACACACTCAGGCTAATAGCTAATAATGAGTCATAATTGAGACAAATGAAACGAGGCTTTAATTGAGTTGTTTCTGCTGCAGGTTTCATATGTGAGCATGAACACTGAGTTTACAGGTGTGTTTGGACACCTGAACTCACTGTACCTGTGTGTGTGTGTGTGTGTGTGTTACAGGCGATCATCTATGAAGGTCAGGATAAGAATCCAGAGATGTGCCGAGTTCTTCTGACACACGAGATCATGTGCAGGTAAGAACAGATACTGTACCTGGACTGAAGGGTCTCACCAGGTCCTAACAGACTAAGGGAACTTGATGTAATGTCCAGTTCAGACCAAAGATCCACAACGAGAACAGAACGGTTTTAGAGCATTTTGGGGAACTGGGCAGCTGGTTTAAGAACGTAAGGTACGTCACCTGTTTTAGGTGCGTCAACAACGTACGTCGTGGCTATGGAGACCATAAACAGTGTCATATAGTTGCATTGTTGGGAACTGGTTCCGGTTTCAGAAAGATTCAGACTGGATTGAATGTTTGATCTGAACTGTGTGTTACTTTACCTGAGCACACCTGGGCCTCTTGTGATGATGATGATACTACTGTATGTACCTGTACTGTAGTACCTGTACTGTGTACTGTAGTATCTGTACTGTGTACTGTAGTACCTGTACTGTGTACTGTAGTATCTGTACTGTGTACTGTAGTATCTGTACTGTGTACTGTAGTACCTGTACTGTGTACTGTAGTATCTGTACTGTGTACTGTAGTACCTGTACTGTGTACTGTAGTACCTGTACTGTGTACTGTGTACTATACTTGTATTTAACTGCAGTATTTGCTCCCTCGGTGAATGCTGAACGTTGTCAGTTTGAGTTATTGTCTGTTGTCTCTCCGTCAGTCGCTGCTGTGATAAGAAGAGCTGTGGAAACAGAAACGAGACGCCGTCGGACCCCGTCATCATCGACAGGTAACACTCACACACACACACACACACACACACACACTCTGCATTATCATGCAGTGTTGATCTGAATGTATTTCATGCTTTCTCACACACACGTTATTTTAATAGCGACATATTTCTCCTGCAATGTGTGTGTGTGTGCTGATAGAGTAACAACTGATACAGGAAGTCTGTTCATATCTGAACAAACAGAGAAAACAATTCTACTGTCAGCTGTGTGTGTGTGTGTGTGTGTGTGTGTGTGTGTGTGTGTGTGTGTGTGTGTATGTGAACTGGTTCAACCTGCGAAGGTCTGTGGGATTATGGGAAATGATGTACCTTAATGGCCGCTGAAAACAAACACTGAATAAAGCAGTTTTTCTTACTTCTGGAACCAAACCTTGACGTTCTGGTTTCACTCCGACTTCAGTAGAGCAACTGCTGTGATTGGTTCCAAGAATATTTTTTGGACAATATTTTTTCCATCTAGTGACTTTTTCCACTGAAACTTTCCTGCAGATTTATTTCTGTGCAAAAGATATGATAAATGATGAACCAGTAACAAGGTGAGCTTCACTGTGTGTTATGGTCAGTAGTTTATCTGCTGTAGGCAGCAAGCACACAGCACAGATGTCAGTATCCCAGCATGCATGTCAGATAATGCAACCATCATTGAATACGATTTTAATATTTCTTCAGAAAGTGATCCTTTAGATTTTAAATATGTGGTTGATTTAAGATTTTAGTCATCGGACGTCTGGATCAGTACCTGAAATGGGTCAGTACTCATCAGAACTCATCAGAACTGACTACCAGCACTTTTGTCCACATTTCCTTACTTCTTACTGCGTGACCTCTGGTGAGCATGGCCTTACCCACTGAGGTCACTGCTATTCTTTCTGAGGGGTGAACAAAACAAAACCCTCCTAGTAAGTTCAGGTTTTGGACCTCTGTGGTTCTGAAACCCTGCACACAGCAGTGCTGCTGAGCTTCTCCTAACTGTCTTAGGGTCCTGGCACCTTTTTGGGTCCAGTTTAGACGGTCGGGATCTTAAGTTATCAGAGAAACAAGCTGAGCTAACGTTAGCATTAGCTCGGCTCACAGCCCCTCCGGGACGTCCTTTGTCTGTCCAACAGCGTGGGAGAAGCAGTGATTTTTAAGGTGGAACTGCTTTATTCTGTGTTTTTAGCGGTTTTAATCAGCGGGTCTGTTTGTGTTGGAGAGGAGGAGACCTCTGTGGATCATTGGGCTCCCGGTAGAAACCTCCTGAACGTTGAACACTGAAGGAATCCCTGGTATCAAAGTTCTTGTTATTAACAAATGAACAAAGAGACAGAAGGAGAGCTGATGAATCGTTCTTTCTGCTTGTGTTGGAGAATAAAAAGGTGACAGAAATACTGCTGAACTGGTCCGAGCTACTTCCCTTCCTCCTCCCCCTCCTCCTCCCCCTCCTCCCTGCTGCGTCTCCTCCTCCCCCTCCTCCCTCCTTTCCCATGAGGAATCATACGCTCTCCTCTCCTCTTCTCACCTCCCCCCTCCTCCCTCCTTTCTTCACCCCTCCTCCTCTACTCTCGTCCTCCCCCTGAGTATTAATCTCATTCCTCCCTCCCCCCTTTCCCCTCTCTCTCTTCTCCGAGGCTGTGGAGGGAGGAGGGGGGAGTGAAAGCAGGGGAGGAGGGTAGATGGATAGATGGATGGAGGTATGGAGGGATGGATGTGACTGCTGCAGCCTTTTGAAAAGAGAAGTGGTGATATTACAGCGGCTCTTTTTTCTCCCCCTGCCTGCTGAAATGCATGATGGGAAGGTCTCCTGTGTTTTCGGCGGCGTCCAGTGAACAGGAAACATGTCAGGGTCAGACTCTGCTGCTGCGAGCACAAACACACTCAGACCTGCAGCCTTTTATTCAAGAAGCACTCTGGTTTTATATTAAACTCACTTTACTTACAGTTCTGCTTACAGCTCAATTAATCCCTTCTTTTCATACATTTATTAATGTTAAAGTGCTTTAATGATACAATTAAGGCACTTTAACATAAAGATTTTAGGATCCAGAACAGCAGAACTGAGAATATTGAAGATCTTTATACTTTAAAACCTTCATTTAGGAGGCGATAATGTAGAAAAACAAGTTAAATATTGTCTGTTACCTTTTTATTTCTGAGAGCATGAATATGAACAGACATTTTGATTCATTTTCTGTCTGTATTCTGTATTTTTATAATTTCTAACTGACTTAATATTCAATAATTCAATAATCAGATGTTTGGTTTCTGATGCAGGACGAGGCTGTTGATCAGAGACTGAATTTCCTTGTTAAGTTGATTGTTGGTTAAAAAACTGTAATTCAGGAAACATTTAATCTCCGAAAACACATTTTCTGAAGCAGATCAGTTGAATATGTTGAAACAGGATTGTATCATCTGCAAAAAGGTTGACTTTTTGGTTGCATATTATGCTCTCTTCTCTTCTTTCTAGTGCGCTGTGTGAATCACATCCTCTCTCGTGAGACTTGGAATCGGAGAGTCTACAGATTCACAAAGTATCTCAACCATATTTCTGTGCTGTGTTATGGTGGAGATATTAATAGAAAAATTGTGAAAACTTCGCTTTTGGCTGCCAACGTTGCTTCTCCTCTAATGAGAGGTTACGTAATGTCACACTGCTGGTCAGTGGTATCGGGTGTAGTATCGGGTCCATTACCAGTACATGAGCACAGGATTGGACCTATTACAGTAACTCTGTATCGTTTATTAAGAAGTTGAAATAGATGAGTCATTAAGAAAGAAATCAAGCAATCCTCAAATATTATTTTGTGACCATTAACTTATTAAGATGAATTGGCATATTAAGTTTAATTGTAAAACTTCTGTAAACCTGTAGAATCAGATTCTCATGTAATTAATAAATAAATACCAATCAAATCTCATATATTTCACAATTTAAAATAGTTTTCTCTCTATATAAGTTGAAGTTACATTATTAATGACTTATAGTGTGCATTGTAACAAGTTATGGCTGGACCTTCTTTTTTTCTAAGTCAGAATGAGACTGAACTTTGCTACAAGATAAAACAGTTTAATCTCAGTCAGTTTTGAACGGACTCGTAGTTACTGCGGTTTGCCTTTGTACCACTGCCGGTATCGTTATGGATGCATCCATACTTTTTATCCAGCTCGGGTTCTTTTCAGTGCGTCTACTGTAAATTCTCCGTAGCGTTCCTCACAGCCTCCTGGAGGGCCCCGCCCCGCAGGTTGAGCATCACCACCGTGCTGTTTGAGGTTCTTTGTTCTGTGTAAAGACAGAAGACTTTGAGGGTCAATCATGATGGGACGATCTCCCCTCTGAACACTGTGAGAACGTTTTAACACGATGATCTTCTGTCTTTAAACTCCTTTCAGCTCAGCTCTGATTTGTAGCCGCTGATGATGATGATGATGATGATGGTGGCGGTGAACCAGCTCTCATCTTTTCACGCTCTCGCTCTGAATACCAGATGTGAGAATTTTTTTGGGGGGTACAATCTCCTGTCTGCGAGCGTCTCTGGTGTCTGCAGCGTGGGATTATGGGAGGACGACGTGCTGTCAATCATTTAGAGGGCGTAGGTGTGATTTCCCTCTCATGCTGCAGGTCGGTTTTGGATGGAATCTCATTACTGGCCGTGTTTCAGGGTGACTGACAGCAGAATAATGTTTGGGGCCCCCAGAGGGCCCCCGGTCGGCTAAATGTTAAATGTATGAATGCATGGGAGTCAATGGAGAGATGAAGTGTAGCTGAATATTTTTCTTCTTCCTGGGAAACAGTCACAGAATGAGGAATATGACCCTGAACACACCATCTGCTGCTGTTTCACCGCTTAGACAACGAACAGAGGAACTCAAACACAACATCTGATAGATTTCATTTAAATACAGACAAGGTTTTACATTTAAAGTTCCAGTGTGCAGAATTAAGTGGCTGATTGCGACTCCCTCGCCTCACCCTCTCCTTCTCTTCCCTGTGGCTTTTACAAAATATTAAATGGAAGTGAATGTTGTATAATCGTTGGCCTAAAGCAGTGGTTCTCAATTATTTTCTGTCATGGCACCCCTAGGGGACAGAAATGTTTCACACCCCCCCTGAATTGTAATACAATTGAGAACCTGATAATATTTATTTATTTATCAGTACAAACCACTGTATCACCTGATTATCAAAATAGATTAATAAAATGAGCTGAGATAACACCTGCAACAACTGCAACAACAATTTCCAAGTTCAGTTTATTAGCTCAGTTTGTTTTAACAATTTAAACAAGACTGCTCAGTCTGTGTGATTCTCAAAACAGAGAAAAAAGTGCAAATGATTCACTGGGATGTGCATTTTTATAGACTTAACACAGTAACATTCAAAACGTTTTTAAACTGTAAACATTGGTCACTTGTCAGCTTCATCAGCTTATTCCTTTTCAAAAAGGTATATGACTTTTTAACATTTGTTTTTTTTGTGCAAAATTTGCAACAATATTACTTATATTTAACGTTTATCTGTTAGATGTTCTGTGAGTTGTTCTTGGAGGTCAACTGAAATGTCAAATATATGTCTCCCGATCGTGTCATTGGACAGAGGGACAGTATTCAGTGTCTCAGCACTTTTCTCACCTATGATTGTGACCATGTCCAATGCTGCCGGCGTATTAGCTCCTCTGCTATCGTGTGATGTTTTTTGCACCTTGCAATGTGGTGGGCAACTTTGTACGAGGCTAACGGTGCTTTTTTATTTACTGATGCCGCGTTCACAAAATGACCGGCCTGTTGGCGATACGCATCGAGTTTTCGATTAAAAAAAGTCCAGTGGCTTATTGACATAACTGGGGTGTAAGGTCTCCAGGTGCCATCTTAATTTATTTGATTTCGTGCTGTCCGCTGCCAGAGTTTAAACATAAAACACACACAGGTCTTTCCTCATTTCCGATCGTATTCATATACTGCAATTCCCAGCTTGGGATCAATAAAGTCTATCTATCTATCTATCTATTCACGTTAAA